CCTTGGTTCAAATCTGTTTGGTTTAAGGAAAGAATCCCGAAGCATGCTTTCATTCTTTGGCTTACTATTCAGGACAGATTAACTACGCGAGATCGATTAAGACGTTGGGGACTAAATGTTCCGAGTGAATGTTTATTATGCGCCTCAGCAGATGAATGCAAATCCCATTTGTTCTTTGTTTGCCCTTACTCCTCTGAGGTTTGGCTCTCTTTCTTTGGTCATTCTGGTTTAAATCCTCCTGCCTTGTTTGAAGACATTGTCGATTGGGTTCGTTCTTCTTCCCAGAATAAGAAAACTCGATCTATTTGTAAAATCATCTTCCAAGCGGTTGTTTATGCGTTGTGGAGAGAAAGAAACTCAAGGCTTCACACCGACGTCTCTAAATTAGCTACGTTACTTGTTAAAGAAATTCAACTCCTCATCCGGGCAAAGCTTGCCGGTCTCGACCGTCTTCATAATAGCACCAATCTAAATTTAACTTCTCAAAGTGCTCCGGAAACCTACCTTGCCTCTTGGTTTGGTTCTTTTCAGCGGTAGTCTATCTCTCCGAGCTTTTGATTCCTCTCCTTGCTTCACTTTAGTTCTTGTCTTGTTTCACCTTAAATTTTAATCATTTTCATGTTTAAAGTGTATTCTCAAATGTCCCCTCTTTTTGAGGTTTGAAGAAAATGAATAAAATATATATTTAAAAAAAACAAAACTAAAACGAACTAAAACGAGATCTTGAGACTGTATAAGATTTTCTTTGGTTGGTAAAACAATTTACGTAACAAAAGTCATGAAATTCACAGTTGGGTCAAATAAATTATACTCAAAAAAGATTTAATTTTACTAAATTCCCTTAAGGATATATATGGTAGTAAAACAAAAACATCAACTCAGAGAATGTTTGTTTTGTTAAAAAGTGTAAAAGTGAGAAAGAGACTTGTCAACAACAAGAATAAAAAAAAGGAGACTAAAATGTAATAATAACAACAAACATGTCAACAACAACAGTCTGAAACCTCAAGCAAAATTTGCTTTGGTACTCTTCTTACCTGTCAATTGAATTCTTCTTCTTCCTCCTCTATATTATATTTTCTTTTCATTTTAAATAGTTTTCCCTCTCCGACCAAAAAAATAAAATAATTTATCCTCACAACACTTTCTTCTGGTCCTTTCTTTGCTTCCTCTTCAAATCTTCCCTCCTCATCTTGTTCAAAAAAGAACAAATTACGAAACTTTCTTCTTGACGATATTTCAAAATCAAGATTTGGTTAAAGGGTCCTAGTTTTTTTTTTTGGTTCTTCTTGCCTGGTTCTTTAATTCTTGATTCTCATTAATGCTCATGGGTTTTATATGAATACTCTGAAAGCTCTACAGGCTCCTTTGAACAGTGAAATCTGGATCCTTTTATACCGACAGAGGAAGAAGATCTCATATGGCAAACAAGATTAGTGAGACTGCTTCCAAGATGGATGATTATGAAGTTGTTGAGCAGATCGGAAGAGGCGCTTTTGGTTCTGCTTTTCTTGTCATTCACAAGTCCGAGAGACGCAAGTGAGTTAGAAGATCTCGATTTTGTAGTTATATATATGTTGTTCTGATCTTGCTTGAGATCAAAATATATGGCTTCTTCTTTTGTAGGTATGTGGTGAAGAAGATCCGTTTGGCTAAACAAACAGAGAGATGCAAGCTTGCTGCGATCCAAGAGGTTCAATATCAGTTGTGAATCTTGATTTTATCCTACGATGATTCTTGAAAATCAAGATTGTGTTTAATTTTGTTTGTTATCATGCAGATGAGTTTGATATCAAAGCTTAAGAGTCCTTATATTGTGGAGTACAAAGATTCATGGGTTGAAAAGGTGATATCTTCTTCTTGTTCAAAGCTTGTAATCTAAGCGCAATTCTCGCATAAATTCTAAACTGTTTTGCGATTTTTTGGATTGGATTATGCAGGATTGTGTATGCATTGTAACTAGTTATTGTGAAGGTGGAGACATGTAAGGCAAATAATTTCGTATTCAAGTTTTATGTTCTTTGTTATTCTTTGGTGGTGGTTTGCCTAACTTATTTTGGTAAATGCAGGACTCAAATGATAAAGAAGTCAAGAGGAGTTTTCGCGTCGGAAGAAGTAAGCTACCATTAAAGAATCTTATTTGGTCTAAAACAAATTATGAGTTGATATTGAAACTAACTAAGAATGATCTTTGTTCTTCTCTGTAGAAACTCTGCAGATGGATGGTACAGCTACTGTTGGCTATAGATTACCTCCATAACAATCGAGTTCTTCACCGTGACCTTAAGGTAACTCAACTTCTATCACTCTCTATGCTTCTTTTGCTTCAATGATACAGAGCATCCATTGACACTACAATTCAAAATTTTCCAGTGCTCCAACATATTCCTCACCAAAGACAACGAGGTTCGATTAGGTAACAAACTCAGACGCCAAATCCTCTCTATATTACCTCTTAAGAAGTTGTTTTAGATCCTCTGTCTTAATATTCTCTTTTCAGGTGACTTTGGCCTAGCAAAACTTCTTGGCAAAGATGATCTTGCTTCCTCGGTAATGCTCATATTCCATTGGGATTTTATCGTTTTTCGCCTAAGTATTTGTGAACCATTTTCTTGTTTTTGTAGATGGTTGGAACTCCAAACTACATGTGCCCTGAACTTCTTGCAGATATACCTTATGGCTACAAATCTGATATTTGGTCTTTAGGTCAAACACACAATCCTAATTCCTAACTTGTAATTTCTTAAATTTATTGTTCTTGGTTTCTCATAAAGATTTTGGCTTTACAGGTTGTTGTATGTTTGAAGTAGCTGCACATCAACCGGCCTTCAAGGCTCCAGTAAGAACTCTTTCCCGTTTTCGAAGTGTTAAATCCGTAGTTCCTTTCGAGTTTCTAAAAATGTTATTTCTTGTTTGGAAACAGGACATGGCAGGGCTCATCAACAAGATTAACCGCTCTTCACTTTCTCCTCTCCCGGTCATGTATTCCTCTGCATTGTAAGTATACAAATACATTTACTTTATTACTGAAAAGAAGCTTTTGAATGTTAAAACTAAATAAGCTTTTGAGTGTTAGTGTTATGAATTTCTAATATGTTAATGCAGAAAAAGATTGATCAAAAGTATGTTGCGCAAGAATCCTGAACATAGACCAACTGTGAGTTGTTGAGTTCCATTTGTTTCTTCTTCTTTTACGACATTACTTCCGCGGTTTCTTCTAACTTTCTTACATGGGAAATGTCTATATAGGCTGCAGAACTGTTAAGACATCCTCACTTACAGCCATATCTTGCACAATGCCAAAACCTGTCTCCAGTTTTCAAACCAGTTGTATCCAAATCAGAACACAACACCTACGAAAACAGAACAGGTCTGCCCCCCAAGACCAAATCGATAAAAACACCCATTAAACATAATCAAGAAGCAGAGGAAAGAGAGAAGAGAAACAAGAATTCAAGTTCTTCTTCAAATGACAAGGAGAGACCAGCAAAGAGCCAAGAGATGTCATTGATAAGCACACTAACGCTGCTACGCGAGTTTCAGAAGAAAAGTCCGAAAAGTGAGGAGAGGGCAGAAGCATTGGAATCTCTGTTGGAGCTTTGTGCAGGTTTACTTAGGCAAGAGAAGTTTGATGAACTTGAAGGAGTCTTGAAACCTTTTGGAGATGAAACAGTTTCATCAAGAGAAACCGCGATCTGGCTTACCAAAAGTCTCATGAATGTAAAGAGAAAGCAAAACGATGATGAAACCAATCTTTAAAAGGAGACACTAACCACAACTTTCATGTAACCAACCACTTTGTGTATTAAAGACATTGATCGAAAAGAAATGAAGTTTTTGATCAGATTCATAAAAACTGAGAGAATAGTGTTACTATTATCAAAATATTAGTGTATTCAATTATAATATCAGTGCAATAACTTACACGATGAGATAATACATCAAAATGGGTTATTTGTCTTAGACTCTAAGAAACAAAATCAGAACAAGATTAAAGGGTTTTGTTATACATATATCCCCTTATCATATGTTCCAGGAACCCTATATATAGTTTTCTTTTACTGCAAGAGAAGAGCCAAGAAGGCGGAGAATGATGCAGCAACGATGGAGCCAACCACCGGGAAAGCTACGTTGGTGGCGGAGGAAGCACCTGGTGATGGTGCAGGAGACTCCATTGTAGCCGCAGTGACTGAGCTCACTAACACGGCCGAGATAAATAGGGCCACAAAGATGCTGTTGAAGTTCTTCATCTCCATTATTTCTTGTGCTTTTTGTTTTTGTTTATATTTTTTTTCGGTTTTTTGTTTTTATGTATATGTGATGCCTTGAAGGTGAAGATGGTGAAGGTATATATATTATAATCAAAATGTGGAAGGAGAAGGTGAGAGGTCTTCAAGGTCTGCCATTGATTAGCAAGACAGGAGAATTTAAGGAATTTTCTAATTTTTTTTTTGTTGCTAAATTTAGGAATGATAACATAGCAAAAAATAAACTAGAGATGTAATTTTTCTACGAAAAGTTTGAATTGGTCTTTGAAAATTTAGAGATTTAGAGTGACATTTGCCATATATTGAGCGACTTAGTAAGATTGAGTTACTCTAGTCTACTGCTGCAACATGAGACGTTAGAGATATTATTCCTTTGAATTAAAAATGAATACTCATTTGTTTACACTGATTTCAGTCTTTACAGATACAAAGAGACTACTACACTCCAGAGACTGTTTTATCTCTTTGGGGAGGCAATTATTGCATATAACATCATTAACCTTACAAGCTCATTGTGTCAGGCAAACTCAGCTCCAGAAAGTAAAGACTGCAACAAAACCACATAGATAAACACATCATAATCGTAAACTATACTACATATCAGATACATCACACACACATTTCACCAGCACAAATCTCTCGTCTATTATGTGGACGAATGGTTAAGAGATACCATTTTCTAACTACTAGGTTGAATCCTAGAATGCAACTTCTATCTCACAGTCTCAACTATGTTTGAAAACAAGTAGACTTATGAATATCAGGTGTTAAGTTTTTGGAAATACTTACCTCGCAGACATACACGCCATGCCAAAAAACACAGCCTTCACAGCTTGTTTTTGTCCCGCATAATCAAATGCCAAAGGAAGCATTTCGTGCAACGTTAGGAAAGCCATGATTCCACCAACTGCATCATACAAACAACAGTTTTGCATTGATACGCTTTACATCCCATTGTTATAATTTAAACTTGAAGTATCTATTTGCTGCAGAATTTCTACTCACCAGCTCCCAACAAACCTTCAAGGATTTCTGGACTTAAGCTTCTTGGGAAAAGATAGGCTGCATCGTAAGGAAGATGGATTAAAGCAGAATTTATGATACTCTCTCAAAATTCATAAGAGAGGAGGTGTTTGTAAAGAAGAAGCAAAATGAGCAAAGAAACTGATGCAACTTACCCACGATAATTACACCAAGAGGCTCAGCTAAGCCAGAGAGTGTTGCCAACTTGAATGCCTGCCATTTGCTGTCACGTGCATAACATCAATATGAGATGAATACAACCACGGAGTACATAATGAACTGCATACATCCTATCATAATAATCAACCATGTTGTTACCTCTCTGTTGCAAAATAAATAGGAAGTGCAACTGCAACACCCTGAAAATATCAAATCATAGCAGAAAGAGAAGCATGTTAGATCAGAGAAATGAACAATTTAGTTGTTTACTGTCTTTCAGATTAGTTTATAATGGAAAAAAGACTGTCAAACAGGAAACGCAGCAAGAAATACGAGATGATATCTTTCAAAGTTTCTTATAATAAGATGAAATCAGTAAGGCAGTAGATATGATACGCCTTCAAAAATTTGTAAGGGTTACAGAATCTGTACCTCGGGAATGTTGTGTAAAGCGATTGCCAAAGCCAGATTAACACCAACTCGCATACCCTGTGAAGTAGAATACAACAATCACAGATTGTTAAAGTCATGAGAGAGTATAGAGATAATTTGTAATGCTCCCTAAAATTTTCTGTTCATAGTGTTCCTTAACCCTCACCTTAATTGATCCGAGAAATACAGCCATCCCTTCTGGGAAATTGTGCAAGCTTATGCCTATAGTTCAAGGAGAAAAATATGAGAAATACATGAAGAGATTAGCTAAAAACATCAAAATCAAGAAATTTTTATAGAAGTCTAACAAACATGATACTTCCTGACTGAATCACATTCATAATTTTATTGTGCTGTAATATATTGACTAGCTTGCTAAATATAAGAGTTCAAAGTTGCACGTCCACTCTAGTTGCATAGAAGAAAGTTTAATGGCATTGATGCAATGGATTTGAGGAGTCATTGTAGAAACAACTAGCCAACAAAATACAGATTAAACTAGATAACTCGACAAACAAACTGAAGAGATGGTAGCGAAAGTTAGTATACCAATAGCTGTAATAATTCCACTAAATAAAACTTGCTTGCGCTTCTTCTTCATCATGTCCTTACCTCCTTCGTCTCCATTTTTCTGTTATCAACAAATATGCCAAAGTTTCATGATACTACATAACCAGAAAGTCTTTGAAGAAAAACTCGTTAAAAAGAAAAAAAAATACAGTCGTGCCTTTCTTCGTTTCGAGTCAGTAGAAGGACCAACTGTAGGTTCAGGTATGAATTTGGCAATACACGCAAAGAATATCACACCACCGAAAAACTGCATCACTAGAGAACTATATTACTTTCAGTGTGAAAATAAAAAGATCTTAATTGAAAAACAAAACCACTGAAGTAGCCAGATGGACAGAAGTACTAACCCAGAGATTGGCTTTTAAGAAGCCAATAGAGTTAATAGCATTATGAGCCAAATCCAGGAAAGATATGCTCAACATCAGACCAGCTGCAAAACCCTGTAGAAAGGACTTGAAATCATCAGATAAGTAACCTATACAACATGGATCGAAATATTCCCAAGTGAAAAGCTTTGTACAAAAGAATGTTGGAAGGGGAACACAACTCTAGTCTTAGCACCCTATAAAACTTGACAACAAGAGAATAGAGCAATGTATAATGAAACTTGGCTCTGTAAAAATACGGGAACCCTGCTTTACCAGAAAACTAACCAATATTACAAAACTAAAGGCCTCCTGTATGATATTTGAGAGGATATGGGAATACATATTAGGACTTAAAGAATGGAAATCAGATGTTAGCGTCGTCACCTGTAGAAGTCCAAGCATCTTCATATTGGGAGTCTCACTAAGAACTACGAAAAGAGCACCTATGAAAAATTAACATGAAATTTCAAATTAAAAGGATCAACGATTCCTTATGTTCAGTAACAACACCACATATCCTCAAATCTATGAACACAAGATTAGCATTGCAATTTGGTAGCAGCATCCCAGAACAAATTTGATTCCTACACTAAGATAGTAAAACAAAGGCAAACACTAATATGAACCAATCACCAATTCAGCAGAAGCAAAATTTGCAATTCCAGAGAAGTGGGAAGAATTGAGCAACCAACCTAAAGAAGTACTTAATCCACCAACGAGGGATAGACCAAGCGCAACGAGCATCTGAGAATCCATTGGTTCTATCTGAATACGATTTGAAAAGCTATAGAGCTTATCGACGTCTCAGTAGAAACAAAACCCACAACCAAACGATTCCTAAAGTGGACTTGTAGAGAAATGGTGTATATAGACGATGAGGAGAGAATATCTAAACCCGAAGGAAGAGATAGCTTCAAGGTGCTAATCGAATTTCAAAAGAGGAAACTGGAAACCCTAATCCATAGCTTTGCTTTGGCCTAGTGAAGCATATTAGCATCCCTGTGTGTCCCTTGCCTTTCGTTTTCTACCTACCCACCATAGCTTCCTTTCTCCTTGTCCCCCTGCTCTGTGTTGACTCGATTTTTTCTCGGGTCGGTTTAACCCGGATACCCATCTACTAGTTTCTTTTTATAAATTACCAAAACTCTATCAAAGTTTAGCTGAAATTATGTAACGTATCGAAACTTTCATTTGGTAAAATCACGTCCCTTACGTTTAGGAAACTTTTAACAAAGACCTCAAATCAATTAGTCAATACAATAAAGCTTATGCTATATATTAATTCCCATAAATTATTAATGCGTAAGACAGTACAACAAGAAGAAAACAAAGACGGATCATTCTTGGTGTTCGACATCAGAAGCAGCATCCTCTTCCTCATGATCAATACCACAACAAGGGACATGACCATTCCCGAAGGCCTTGACATGGTCTTTAAGAGACCTCTTGTGCTTGAAATCCGACTCACATGAGCAATACCATAGCTTCCCACAGTTCTTCTCGTGCGTCCTCCAATCTCCTTTGACCGCAAAAGCTTTCCCACATCTACGACAAGCAAAGGGCCTCACACCGTGCTTCCGCTTGTAATGTGTCTGGAGCGTACGGAAGTCCTTGAGCGGCCTTGCCCTTGGGTGGTCTATGTTGTTCTTGCACCCCGGTGCACAGCAGTAGCATGGCAGCTTCAGCATCGCCGTTGGTTGTGTCCCTCTCAGCGACTCCGGTCCTTTTCTGTATTGTGACCCATGTCCCCACATGTGCATCTGATAACAATATAATTTTATCATAATATTAGAACATATTTTCGTTTGCTGAAACCGTATATTTAATTTTATGATGATGACAAGTAGAATTCAGATTAACACCCAAAATGAGCTTGAAACATATGCTACGTTACTATGAACTATCCCACCCTAATTTTTTTCCCAATACTTGATCCTTCTAATTAAAGATATATCATAGAGATAATTAATGTAAATATTCCAGACGTTGAAAAAAAAAAATTAAAGTTATATGATTGTTTAGGTTTCGATAGGAATAAATATCATAAAAATAAATCTATGTTATTATGTAAAGATTTAAAAGAGGTACAAAACAATCTGCAAAACATTTATCACCCTCTTTTTCTTTTACTTTTTAGGGTAATGAGTGTTGTGTAGTAGAAGTGCGCAAACATCAAGAGAGGCAATACAAATGGAAGAGGAAGAGCTAGTACTGATCATATTTTAGGGTCAGCTAGAAAGAGTCATGAGTGTGAAAAAAAGACTGTTGGTTAAAGAAGATCTTCTTGATTTTAAACCTATTGATTGATTTTAGTTGATCTTTTCATAGCCATCAATCCATCGTACAGCTGATGCCTTGTACCATCAAATAAAAAGTTAGTCTCGACTAATAATAGTAATAGTTATTTTGAAAAGGTCGTAGTTACTAGGGATTTTCTCATGATGAAGGTTTGAAAATATACGACCAGGAAAATAAGAAAAGTAAAAATGAATTAAGATCCATTTTCAAGAACCAAAAAAAAGGTCAACTTTTGAAAATCATTCTAGGGAAAGTAGCAACTAATGAGAGTTAGGGTTTATATATTGGATGAAATGATATATCCTTACTTGCATGTTGTTATATCTGTTGAAGGTCTTGAAGCATAGAGGACAAGTGAACTGTGTAGGACCCATCAGAATCTGAGAAGGAGTAGGGATCCAAAAGTGATGAAGATGATTACCCCTTTGTAAGCCACCATGACCATCATCATGATCAGAAGCACGAGCAAATTCTACTCCTTGATCTTGATGATCATGATGCTCTTGGTCGTCCGTGGAATCAAGGACCACATCGCTGCTGCTGCTTCCACCATCACCGAAGTTTGGTAACCCTAGATGAAGATCCACAGTTACTTCATTATGATCAAGCTCGTGATCAAGAAAATTTGAATTAGAAGAAGTTTCTGCCGTCGTCTCCATGAAATAGTACTCATGATGGTGAGCAATAGGTTCTTGATGCTTATGAATGGGGCTTAAGCTAAGGAGAGGGAGAGCTTCTCGAAGTGGAGGAGAGTCAGGTGAAGTAGGGTTATGATTTGTGTTGATGTTTGGGCTAGTGGTATGGTGAGGGTAGTAGAAGTTGCCATGAGAGTCGTAGATGCGTGAGAGAGAAGTGGAATAGTTGAAGCTATAGTCATAGTAGTCGACGTATCCATTGTTGAAAACGCAAGCTGGTTCAGACATTAATGATAGAGAGAGTAGGAAAGAAGGCAAGATATCTCTAGCTGATGGGTGGGGTATGAGTTAAAAAAACCAGTGAAAGCTAGATATGCATGTATATATGGGGTTTCTGTATGAGTGAGTATATATAGAGATGAGTTTTGTGATGTGACGAAGCGGTGGAGAATAGCATATGATAATTGATAGAAAAGGGTACGGAGAAGATAGTAGGTAGAAAAGAAACAAGGAGAAAGTTTGAAGAAGGGAAAATAAAACTTATTAATATCTTGGGACTCGAAGTGAACGCACTTATGTATTATTAAATCTTGGATTAATTGGATTTTGAATACATTTTTGAAACATAATTATAAAAGTAGTACATTTACTATTTATAATTAGCAAACTAATACATTTTTACTATTTGAACACTATTTAGACACTATTAAAAAACCCTTTAAATCTAATAACTATAATATTAATCAAAATAAATTTGTTTTTAATAAAATTTCAGTTACATAAAAATCTACATTTTTTCTCTATAATTTGATATGCATTTTATTCTAATAATTTATAATATTTTTCAAACAAATTTTGATACGTCCAGCTATCCTTATGTACAGTTGTGTGTCGCTGTACGGAAAATCATCCGTACAGCGGTCTATATATACGTATAATTGTACGTGTACAAATGTTTTTCTTCTCTATATATGTATATTTGTTTATGTGTAAATATGTGTTTTTGTAGTTGTTTCTCTTTGTACAAATATTTTATGTACAATAATGTGTTGCTGTACAGTTGTCTATATGTACAGATACCTGAAATAGTAAAATTGTACTATTTTGCTAATTATGAATAGTAAATGTACTACCTTTATAATTATGTTTCAAAAACGTACTAGTTTGCTAACAAACTCTTAAATCTTCATGAAACATAACAACCATATAAGCAATAGATTATTATTATTGTGATCACATAGTATAAGATCGGGGATAAAAACCGGACGTGTGCGTGTAAATTGGTGTACCATAAGATTTTCTGAAGGGAGAGTGCCTCAAAGTTACGGGTTTAGATTTTGCTGTTGGAAATAATCTGATTGACATGCTTTGATCCATGCATGACTCCATGGCCCAAAGGGGGTAGCCAAAGGCCAAAAACCTTTGGGTACGTAGTCCAAAAAAAAGGAGGATAGATCATCTAAATATATTAGTATGGATGGATTTAATCATCATATATATGAAAGAAACTCTACCTACTGTAAATATTACTTATAAGACTTGACAAGAAAGATATAAAAATGCAATTCCCATTACATAGTCTTTTGAATCTATTGATTATGATCATTGATCGAATTAAATTTATATGAATCATTAGGTTAAATGTTGTATAGTTCATATGTATTGTCGTTGGTTTGATTAGCTTGAGTTTTGATACCAATAACAGCTTTTAAACTGAGCAAAGGAAAATAGGAAATAATCCATTAGACAAAACATAGTATGGAAAGGATAAAAAAAGTGGACAAGATCGACAATCAAGGATAAAAGTTTGTCTCCTTTAATGTCTGTAGAGTGAATTACAAAATGTATGTAGAGAAAGTTAGAGAGAGAGAGAGAGATGAAGCATAGCATAGAATCAAGATGATAAACATTTTGGGTTTGTGGGGAGATTGATCGCGTTGGAAAAAGAGATGGTCGTGATCCAGGACAGCACTTGCGTTGGTGGCCTCATCTCTATGTCGGCTCGGCTTCAGAAACATATTACTTGGAAACGCCAAATCTTTATTCAATTATTTATTGACATAACATTTAGTTAATTAATGAATTTCTACAAGTAAAAGGTAACAATTGGTCAATATATATATATATATGGTCTGATGTTTAAACCCTAATTTTTAAGTTCATGGAATATTAGAAGTTAGCTGATCACTTCATGCATCCATAGCATCCAAAAACCCTAAAACCTAAAAGATGGTATTTGTACATATACTTCAATTTTAAAGTGCATGGATTATAAATTTTATTTGGATTCTGATGAAGAAGAGTTGGTTATACAAAAAAAATAGTAGTATCGACGACGTCGTAAGATGTTGTCGTAGTAAGATGCGACATTGTAAGATGAAGGGGGTCAAAATAAGTGGGTTTGAACAGCGAAACTGGATTGGTCGCAATGTATGAACTCGGAAAGATTGGGCCAAGAAAGTCAAAATAAGTTAGAGAACATGTTGATTTGCTATTAATTAGTTCGAATTAGACTGTAGATTAATAAACATTAAATCTAGTACATGTTCCCGAGCAAGCACGAGTGTGTGTGTATGTACATGTGTGGATTTTTGTATTATATGAACCTTGTTTGCAAGTGCATAAGTTCGTTTCTTTAATCTCTCTAGCGTGTCTGATCATGTGTATATGTTTGTTTCTCTCTTCTCAGACATTTTTATCTATATATGCACCTCGTGTTATTTCCTTTTTTTTAATATAAAAAATGTTATTATCTTATACAATGTAAAAGTCTTTTTGATGTTATGTGCATGTCTGTACGTAGTATATATGTTCTTCCAAACTATTTGCTTTGGGATTGGCCATGGTGTTATATTTATATTTTAAATCTTGTTTTAGAATTTTAAAGTTAATTAAATGTTAACTTGAATTTTATTTAAAGATCATTTTCTTTCATAAAAAGCATGGAAAAACATGATTTTTTCACATTTCTAAAAGTTTACCCTTCAGTAAGTTAATTGAATATTGAATATATATAGAGGGGAAAAGGTAAAAAACAAAATATCGTGGCCTGAGAGATTCGAACTCTCGCGGGGAAACCCCATGTACTTAGCAGGCACACGCCTTAACCACTCGGCCAAAGCCACTTTTTTGCTTTATGTATTCTTTGTCAATATATATACGATAAACTATTCCATACAAACAACAAATTTCGCACGAAGGCTGATCCAGCAAGATTATCTTAATGTATTAAAGCCCAAGAGTGTATAAGCTCAACAGCCCAATTTATTTTCTTCTCTAACTGTAACGCTTTTTTTTTGTTTTTTTTTTTTCTATCAACAAAGATTTCGAAGTCACGATTTCGATTTTCGAATTCGAAGGCTCAGAGAAGAAGAAGAAGAAGCTCCTGGAAACTTCCAATCGAATTGATCATCTAATTACAGGCGACGTAGCAAAATACTCTGCGTTGGCGATAATGTTCTACAGAGGGTAAGCCCTATAATTATCTCTGATTAGTTCGCCGATGATTTGATTTCATTAGTTCCTGCAATTAGGGTTTCTTTATATGTGTTTTTGTAATGGTTTCAATTCAATCCAAGAATCACTTCAGTTTCAGTTTCTGTTAATGTTTTATCTGTTTCCGTTTCCTTTATTTGTTCTGTTCTGTCGGAAAATTTTGACCTGTGATCTCTCTGAATGGGTTTTGTAGTTAGGCTGACTTTGATTTAAATAACAAGTTTTTTTTTGAATTCAAGAGAGTTATGAAATATAAGCTGTGATAATGTTGTGGTGAATGTAGATATGGAGATGGTCCTGATGGGCGTGAGATGGGACCTAAGCGTCAAAGAATGATTGATCAAGGTCCTCCTGGACCATTCTATGGACCTCATCCTGGTTCTGCTTATATGTATAACCCTTATGGGTTTGTTGCTCCTCCTCCACCTCCTCCTTTTCCTGTTGTTCGACTCCGTGGTTTACCCTTTGACTGCGCAGAGCTTGATGTTGTAGAGTTTTTCCATGGTTTAGATGTGGTCGATGTCCTGTTTATTCACAAGAACAATAAGCTTACTGGAGAAGCCTTTTGCGTTCTTGGTTATCCCCTCCAGGTCGATTTTGCTCTTCATAAGAACAGGCAGAATATGGGAAGGAGATATGTCGAAGTTTTTAGGAGTACGAAACAAGAGTACTATAAGGCCATTGCTAATGAGGTTGCGGAGTCTCGTGTCCATGGTATGGCTAGTGGGGGTGGTGGAGGTGGAGTTGGCAGTGGAGGCGGAATGAGTGGTGCAAGTTCACCTCGCAGGCACGTGCAGAGGGCTAGATCGAGTGATGATGGGAAAGAGAATATTGAGCATACGGGTATCTTGAGATTGAGAGGATTACCGTTTTCAGCGGGAAAGGAAGACATACTTGACTTCTTCAAAGATTTTGATCTGTCAGAAGACTCTGTTCATGTTACTGTTAATGGTGAAGGGAGACCCACTGGGGAAGCGTTTGTGGAGTTTAGGAATGCGGAAGAGTCACGAGCTGCAATGGTCAAGGATAGGAAGACGCTTGGGAGCCGTTACATAGAATTGTTTCCTTCATCGATTGAGGAGTTAGAGGAGGCACTATCAAGAGGAAGGTGATACATCATCTCCCATGGTACTTTCATACCTTGTCTAAATGGTTATCCTAAGATCACAATTCCGATGCATTGATGATGGTTCCGGTTTTGATGTACTATCTATCTGGTCAAGAATACTAGTTTTATCCATTCTTTAGATTTTGTTGTGCTGTATTGATCAAGATTTTCATGCACCTGCAATCAATAGAAGTAAGTTTTGAAATCAAAATGGGTGAATGATCTTTTGATTCACTCGTGTTGTTATCGCTAAGTTGGATTGTAACATTAGGCTTTACTGAAGTTATGGAAAGAGAAATCTTGATTTGATACTCTTTGTCTGTGAGAGACATGTTGTTATACCGTCACCGTCTCAAGGTCGTCAGAAACCTTGAAAAGATGAATCGTTTTGGACTCTTTGTAGTATTTGTAAACAGACTAGTAAAAGCAATTTGTCTTCATTGATACTATAGTTTGGTGAGAAAACAAAAACAGTGTGGAGCATTGTTCTGTATATATGTTCTTTGTTACTCTGTTAGTTTTTTTATTTTTGTGTAAGGGTATGAATCGATTCTCTTAGCATTATTATTTATCTGTAGGGACAAAAACATTGGACATATGTGTTATCAATAGACAGTATAATACAAATGGTAGCATAGTTGTTACTTGTTAGGTGTTGTTTCTTGCCCTTTTTTCCACTTCGACTATCACATCTACAACTGACCATGCAATGCTATCAGAAAAATGAACGGCTGGATCAAACTAAGCGTTAGAACGATTCTGCAAATATATAACTATGCAAGCAGAAGAAACTTTGGGTTTATCCAATTTTAAACTGCATCTCATGTCTTTGTCATTCTGCCTACCTTCTTTGTACACATCTGAAGGGGAGTCTGATAACACTCTTTTTTTTAACTGATTGGAATAATTTTACCTTTGCAAACTTTATCCAAAAGTTACGAATGTTACGTTTACATCTCAAGCATATAGAATCCCGAAATATGCATCAGTAAAAACTGCAGCAAGCTTGAGTTGAATTACATACTCATATCAATGAAGTTCTACTTTTGCTTAAAAGAGAGTCACTCTTAACTCCAATGACGATGATAAACAGAAACACCATCCGTTTGAACATTTTGGCAACTAGTAACGAATGACAAAATGGATTGAAGCTTAATTAGTTTTACATCTTCGTAGCCTTTGTCTTGGACGTTGGAGATGGGTTTTGGAGATATCATCTCCAACTTAAGTATGCTTTTGTGGCGGGACATCCATTCTCGGTTCTTGCCTTCTTGGCCTACTCTCATGTTACACACCATAGTATATCTTATATTAGTGTGTCACTGTACGAAACATATGCAGCCTTGTGTATGCTTAACATTGAAGGGGAATCTTTTATTTTTTCTTTTCCTTTTTTTATATTATTAAATTGTTTGAGTTGAGCAATACCAAAAATAATTGTATATACATAGTAGCCACTAATTTGAAAATAACTGAAATTGTATAATAGTTTTCAAATAGTTGGCAAAAGCTAATCATTGATTATTTTTGTAAAGAAAAGTCTACAAATAAAAAATAACTAATCATTTTGATGTGTAGAATAACATTTGCTATAATGGAAGAGTTAGCGATGTGTGTGGCCGAAGGTGAGTTTTGCAATATCTTCTTCTTCGGGATAAAAAAGAGTGATGAGAGCTATTTGTGTAACAGATTAACCAAACTGTAATATGAATATTATAATTGCTAAGGCTTTTATATATATATGAAAATTCGTGTTGTCATGTGTGAAAGCAAAGACTTTTATATGGAATGCCACTTGCATTGTGAATCCTATGTTTAGGATCCCATGACAATAATAACCAATCGCGCATATAAATATGATTGTACTTTTTTTTTGTGTTTTATAAAAGGTGTTCTATATAAAGTTTTGAAATCATATTTGTTAAAAATATACAAAGAGATTTCAAACAACGAAAAAAAAGTTAATTGCATAATTGATACATAGATATAGTAAAAACCGTACAAAGAAAGCTCAACCAAAATGAGAAATAGTTAGTTGGAGGGGAAGACGTACATAGAATAGAACCGTATAAGTAGTTATCCCTTTTTATTATGTATTAGTAATTACATTGAATTTGCATGTCAGTCCACGTGATTTACTTCTTACATATACATCAAAGTTTGTGTTCACTTTTATTTTATTTTCTTTTATTTTCCCTGTGTATATATTCCTCCTTTTTCTTATGCAGTTGTATACTCTAGTACTCCCTATTTTGTTTTCTTTGTTCTTCAAGTAATAAATAAATGTTCTTGATCAAGTATGAATCATATATATATTTTGGTGAGATAGAAAAAAAAAAAGAGTATTATGATGTGATTCGGTAGTTCCCATTTTTAAGTCTCGAGACGACTCTTGTTGTAGAAAACTATTTGGACGGCAGAAAACGTAGTTAAATAGTAACCTCATGATTTATCTACTCAAAGTATAAAAAAAGGTAAGAAAACAATTTGATTAAAAGAGAGAGAAAATTGGGGGAGAAAGGTCAATTTTCTCGGTTTGTCGTTGTCGGATATGTGCATCCAAAATTCCAAAAATAATATAAAAACCATTTTTGGGGGCCTCAAATGTGAGAGACTCTTTTCTCTCTATCTCTCACTCGTCCGACACACCAATTATCTATTTTTAATTGGAATTCATTTCTTTTTTTTACTAGTTCCAAAAGTTACAGTCACCATGTGAATTGCGAAAAGGGTCAAATATGTGCACCAGCACCACTGTTAATCTGAGTTTGTGACATCATGTATGTGTTACCCTTACAGAAGATATCTTTGTTTTATATGTGTGCACCGGCACTACTGTTTAACCTGATTTTATAACATCATGTTCATGTATGTGACACATTACACAAAGACATCCATGTTTTTATTTTAGTTTTATTCTTCTATTTGTGAGTTTGGCCACTTATACTCATAACCAAAATGATTTTGATCATTAGAATTCCATAATGTTTCTCTTAACAACTTAATAACATCTTGAACAATAACATAAACCGACATATCTTACTCTTGTTTTTCTTACTCAACTTTTGAAATATCTCACCATATATGTATATCTTGGATCCATTTGGTACATATCTATCTTTGATATTACCACTTGGGCACTTCTATTCTAGTTAATAGTGATTATGTTTGTTTATAGTCTTTAAAAAAGGCAAATAAATATGTACATGTTACCAATTCTGAGGTCAGACTTACATAGTTTACATCCATTTATATCAAATCATCCTTAAAGAGAATACTCTTTTTACCTTTTTTTAAAGATCAGTCCATCACTTTTATTTTTTCTCTGTTCGACTCAGTGAAAAAATAAACCCTTTTGGTAGTCAAAATTTATAAACTTTAAAGGTGACACTCTCCCACTAAGGTTTTGACTCATCTTCTTATTTTCTCATACTATATATATGTTACGTAAACAAGTAAGCAACGACTCTCGTCTCCTCTTATCTCTCTTTCTCTCTTTATATCTCACCTAACCTTCTTGCAAAAGAAAATAAAAAATCCATCTTACTATTTCTCTTCTTTTTGAAGCAAACCCTCTTTGATAACTAGGTCTACAGAGATGGCATCAAAAAAAGCAAGAAAACCAAACCGAACTGATAAGATACTCACAAGAAGCCATTTCAAGAAACAGCTTCCACAGCACAACAACAACAACACAAGTACTACAACTCTCGATCAAACATCTGCATCATCTAGTCTCGTGTCTACATGTTCTTCTTCAACGACGTCGTTTTCTCCTCCCTCTCCCTCCCCGGCGGTTCTAGGCTCTTCACCAGGCGGCGGCGGCGGCTGTTGTACTCCGAAAGCTCAGAAGTCTAGGATACCGGAGATGTTGACGTGTCCACCGGCGCCTAAGAAGCAAAGGGTCACAAAGAACTGCGTGTTAAGACGGAGGCAGATCGTTTTCTTTGCTCCTCCGGAGATAGAGCTCTTCTTCGTCAACGCACACGATCGATGAACTACTTTTTTAGTTATGTATTAATTAGCTCTTTTTTTGCTTTGGTTATAGGATTATTGATGTAGAAAGTAGTAAAAGACGCTGATGAAAAAATTCATCTCTTTGATTTGTTAATACAATAACGAAGAGTATATTTATTATGTTTCGTGTGATGTTTTCTTTTTCTTTTTTCTTTTTTTGGTAAAATTCATGAGATGCTTTTTCTTATTTTGGTTTGTTTTTTTTTTTTTCATTATTTTGGCGCTTGTTTTTTTGGGATGATTTGAATTAAGTCGGTTTGAGAGTTTTTTTGTGGTAGGGTATATCAAAAAGATCAACTATGATTTAAACTTGTATATAATTGATACCACTACCCCTTTTATTATTTAATACTATTACTTGTTCACTTTTTCCCTAAGTGCTATGTGTTAGGTTGCTACTGACTTTGATTTCTGGCCTATATTATTAGCTTTGTCAGTTTTTTGTAATTTTGATGTGGATTGAGTTTTCTTTATTCAACAAAAATGTGTTGTTTCTTGATCTCTAGTTTTGTTCATTTGCTTTGATCGGCTGTTCTTGATCCTCGTTCAATTGACAGTAAACTGACTATTTCTTAGTTAGTGGAAGTTCTTGATATTAGACAAATGAATGCAGATGATAATGACACAATATAGTATTTGATTGAGAAACAAATCACTTTATTTACATGGAAATTCGCACTGAGTTTAGGTCCAATAACATTAAACATCGCATAGAAAAGAGCATAAAATTAATTTTACTTAAGTCAATCTTCAGCAACTTATAATAATATTAAAATTTATGTATGCACACACTTCTAATTTTTCTTAATACAATATTATTACCTTCTTTCTAATCAATTAAAAAAATCGTGGTTCTGAGATGGGCCATTTTTTAATTGTGTGTCTAATATATAATGGGCGATGATATCAGTAATCAAATCCCACCAGGTTTCCTTAGCTCATTTAAGAAAATACAATTCCAAATATATCAGCTTTAAGGTTTGTTTTATAATTGAAAGTTTAGTAGTGTGTAAAACTTTAATTAGTTGAATGCATCTTTTTGTTCCACTTCTAATTTTTATTAACTTCAAACATGTCAACTAATGTTTTGAGTAAAGTAGGAAAAAAAAATAGTGGAGATATGTTAAAAGAATAAATGAAAGCAAAGAGACGAGAGATATGTGAAGAGATTAGATAGATAGTGGGGATGGCCACAGTGTCGAAGGCCTGAGGATAAAAACATCCGCCAAAGAGGAATCCAATGAAGCGACTCGTGCGGCTTTTCTCATCATTAAAACAAAAAAAAAGGGTTAAAAACACACATCTTTTATCACATCATCGATAATACAGAAATGATGATTCCTTTTTGCAAACAGAGAAAAAGATTAATCTTGACTATTTTACATTCTTCAGCTTCGAATATGCAAATCCATACAAGGGTCAAAGTAATAAAAAAAAAAGTCTCCTAAACTTGTAGTTTCATGAATTATAGTTAGAAATGTTCAAAACAAGTAATTTATATAAGCCAATAAGAACAAAAGTTCTATATGTATAAAAGTAAGAGGTAAATTGATTTGCTTAAGAAACGACTCAAAGGATAAGAGAGATCTTTTACCAAAAAAAGAAACTTGGAGAAGAAAGATTTGACAGAAAGAACAAAATAACATGATGATTGTATTTTAATTTATTTGAGAACCCGTTCAATAATATTTCTAAAAAAGTTATCAATCACATATAATTTTATAATTATAACTTATTAACTTATGTTAAATATGTGAACAATTGTCTTTCGAATTAGCTGTTATTAGTCAATCTTTTGTTATTGTTGAAAAAAAAAAAAAAAACTTATGTTAAATAATTAGCCACTAAGAAAATATTTTTATTTTATTATAATATACATTATTTTTGTTTTATTTTTGCATCTAGTTTATAACAAAAAGTTTGTTTACAAAAAAAAAAAAAAAAAGGTTAAGATTTGGGCCTTCACGATATAGGTCCTTTATACCCGTAATAGGCCCAGAGAAATTACTCATTTACACGAATTATTATATCCTCCATTTAATAAGTTGAAAAAGTGATGTGTTGCCGCCGTTCACGTGGACAGCACGTGGCAACCAAGATTCAGAACAGAACAAAAACTTATTTCCTACGACGATCAAATACCCAAATAAATATATTAAAAATATATAAATTTAATTCCCTAAAAATTGTTTTTTCTTTTTTTCTTTCGTTCCTCCCTTCCTCTGACTGAAAACTTCCTCAGATCGTCTCTACCTTCCAAGCGGAAGCGTCTCCTTCAAATCACTCGTTGACGCCTCCGACAAGGTCTCCTACGTTTTTTTTGATTTAATGGTATCTTTTGAAAATTTTCCGATTCTTTTATCATCAAATCGTTGTTGATTGCATGAAGCTGCTTCTTATATACCTTTCTTCTAGGGTTTTTGTCTTGTTCTGTTCTCTCAGTTCTCAAAGTTGCGAAATTTAAGTCCGATTTTGTGAATTCTATCTTCTGGCGTTTCTGGGTTTTGCTTGTTTCCTTGTTACCCAACCCTTTCGTTGAAGTATTTGAGAGTCAAAATTCGTACTGATTTTTTGTTGTCGTTCTGTGTGGATTGTTTTGGTCTTGGTTTAATGAAAATGGATTTGGTAGTCGTGATTCATCACTAAAACTCGGTTTTTTTTTAGGGAATTGAAGACATGCATTCAAAATCTGACACTGGGAACAAGATTGATTCAGAGGCTCATCGTACATCGCCGTCTTCTATAAATAGTGTAAACCCTTGGCAGCGTGCTGCAGCTGCTTGCGATGCAAATTCTAATGTGGAAGCTGGAGATAAACCTTCGAAGTCTATAGCTTTGGAATCAAATGGTCCGAAATCACCTTCCGGTAGAGATGATAATGCGAACAAGGAATCAAATGTGACAACTTCTCCGAGTTCAGGTGCATTGATTTGCTCTCTTAGTGCTACGCTTTGAGGATTTGCTTATGGATGTTTTGAATTCTCATCACCAAGTGTTGTTGTTTTGTTTTGTTTTGCAGCTGGAGAGTACAGTGATAAAAATCAAGAACCTTTGCATCCCTGCATCACACAACCTCCTCACCCTCAACTTGTTGGCCACACAGTTGTAAATTTAGCTGATTATTATCAATTCTGTTAGGAAAATTTAGCTATGGTTGCTTACAGTTTTTTTTTGTTGTGAAACATGCAGGGATGGACATCCTCAAATCCATACCAGGATCCTTATTATGCAGGAGTGATGGGAGCCTATGGACATCATCCTTTGGTATGTATGACTGTATGTTCAAATTTTTTATAAGCTTTCATGAAGCCTCAACTAATTTTCTCTGCTGAGGCTATTTTATTCTCTGTTGAGACTATGTGATTCGATCATATGCCATGGTTGGATGGTACGTCTACCATAATTCATGGCTGCTATTGGGTTGTGAAACGTGAGATTGCAGGTTAAAAGTATCCTAGTAGTTGTAGGTGCTTTGAAGTCTAGCATGATTATGATTGCCTAACAATGTTCTTGATTTATTTATTAATTATGATTTAAAGTGGCAGTATATTATTGGAGAGATTGGGAAGATGCATTTGGTTAACGACAGGGTTCTATGGCTCTTCTAATCTGTTTAGTTTCCATTTGCGTTTCTGACAAAAAACACTTTTCCTGTCAGGGTTTTGTTCCATACGGTGGGATGCCTCATTCAAGAATGCCACTGCCTCCTGAGATGGCTCAAGAACCAGTTTTCGTGAATGCTAAACAGTACCAGGCGATTCTGAGGCGAAGGCAGGCACGTGCCAAGGCAGAGCTAGAGAAGAAGCTAATAAAATCCAGAAAGGTGAATTGCGTGTTACCATGAATAGTATTAGTTTCTTGAGAGCTCTGTTCTAAATGTGAACGCATCATCAGGCTGCTTAATGCATCTTTTTCTTTGTTTTGCGTACTCCACAGCCTTATCTCCATGAATCTCGGCATCAACATGCTATGAGGAGGCCAAGGGGTACTGGAGGACGGTTTGCAAAGAAAACCAAGACCGAAGCTTCACAGCGCAAAGCTGAAGAAAAGAGCAATGGTTGTGTTACTCAGTCCCCAACGTCATCTAATTCTGATCAAGCTGAAGCATGGAATGTTGAGTATAGAAAACCTCAGGGCGATGACATGCAGAGCTCAGCTTATAATAGAAGGGAAGAAGGAGAGTGTTCAGGGCAGCAATGGAACAGCCTTTCCTCAAACCATCCTTCCCAAGCTCGCCTAGCCATCAAATGACCTCACACTGCGGCAATTCATTCTTGGCTTTCTCTTCGTTGGCTTATTTGGTAGCAGCCATTGAAGAGTGTTTTTCTTCTTATTTTGTACAAATACTTTTTGTAGCTATGTCTCTTTTTTTTTTTTTCAGTTTGGAATACTTCAAATGTTGCCGCTTTTCTTTGTCAACTCTCTCTTAAGTTTTAAGTAAGCATTTATTAGCAACTGATGGAGCTTTTGTTTGAGATTTGAAGTTTTTAATACAAAACTATGTGATTGAAAACTAAATTTCAGAGTGTGCCAAAATGAAAGAGTAAAAAGTACCACAAAATCTTTCAAGACTTTCTTATAAGAACTCACCTCGTCTTGGTCACTTAAGCTGACTTATTGTTACAATGAACTTTCGTTTCTATATTTGTTTTTATTTTTCTAGATCAGGGTCAGTCCAACGATCAGCTTCCTCCTCGCCTTGAGTTTCATCTAGGTCAGCACCTTCAGTCTGGTCAGGACCTGCTGCATCTGAGGAGTTGTTTGCTGTATCTGTGATGTTCACAGGTTGCTGATTCTCCATCAAGCCAGAAAGTGCTAGCTTTGGTGACCACTCAAGGACATCGTCAATGATGTTAGACATCCTTCTTTGGTACCTGTATTAACAAAACTCATTACAATTCAACCCTCTACTGCAACCAAATCCAAAAACTCAGACCTGAAGCGACAAAATATGATTCTACCAAGCAGCAAGAACAAATTTCTTTTAAAGCCATTTAAAGCGATATTATAAAGGTTGATGAGAAGAGAGTGTATACCTGGCTCGAGCAGCTTCATCAGGGGCATGACGCCTAAGCAGCATGACAACAACAATAGCCACTACTGTGTAGAAAAGTCGAGATGTCCACTTGGGCGGCTCTTCCTCGTCTTTCTTTGGCCAGAAACGGAAGAGTTCTTTCAATGTGGCTTCCTCGGCTAGAATGTTGGGGAAGAACCAGACACGCTTTCCCAAGAGAATCCACATAGCACCGAAAGCAACTGCCCTCACTGCAAGAGGTAATTAAAAAGGGGTAATATAAGTATAAGCCAAGTTAAAACAACATGGGTATATGACCCCTTTCGGTTTAAGTAGCTATAGCTAGTATGAACTTGCATAGCAGTGCATAGTGGTAATTTGCTATACTTCAAATTCGAAATGGTAAAACAAAATTATAGAGCCAATAATGGAGTGTCTGTGTGAAAGAACACTACCAAGAAAGTGACTTTTAAAGGTGCAATTACAGAAGAATACATCAAACAGATAATGTGTAGAGCTTACCGAAAAGCAAGGATAGAATCATCAAAAGAATGCCCGCGCATGAGTAGAGTACAATTAATTTGCATCGATGTGGGTACACAGGAAACAAACAAATTGCGAGAGTCAATACAGGCCAGAAGAAGGACAAAAGTGTTTGCCATAGTGGATGTCGTTTTTCAAACGTCCATGCAAAAAAGGCATCATTTTCAGAGAAAGATTGATCATCCTGCGTCAAATTGAGAAAAATGAAATCAAACGCCGATATACGTGCACTAACGAATGCATATCTTCAAATAATACAAAACAAGAACCAAAAAGGTATGATGGTGAAAGTGTTAAATTAATTGTGTAGTAGTAGAATGTGTTCAGAAATATGACAAGACAACAGGTTCAATAGCAATTTTCTCTAACCAACTAAGTTCAACTTACACGGAAATTATGAGGTTGGAAGAGACAAAGAAAAGAACAGTTTGGCATATGAACTGAACAAAGCACAAAATCAACTTACACGGAAAATCTCCAGGTGAGCCGGCCAGGTAGAGAGCTTTTTCTTCCCAGGACGAAGAGTTTTTGTAACACGATCACAGCGGACCAAAAGGTTCTTTCCCAACAAAACATTGGCAATATCGTCAGTATCGAGGTCTTTATCTTCTTCCAGAATCTCTTTAAAATCTGGGTTGTTTTTCATGAAGCTCACAAAATCTTTCCCTCTGAAGTATTCGACTCGTGCTTGCTCCATAACAGCCCATCTGGATTCTAATCCCTTGTGGTCTCTAACTTTCTCAGCAAACAACTGAAACGTATCCTTCTTCACAGCTTGCTTCTAGTTAAGGAGAGAGACCAGGCAAAAAAAAAACACAAAAGCACAGAATTAAGCATTGAGCAAAGCAATAAATTAATGCAATTATCAAAAAGGATTATCATTTCACATCACGAAGTCCTAAAAAAAAAAAACTTTCGCCATATCAACGAATCAATTTGACATTCCACAGGTATAATTTCACAACTCACAGAACCACAAACAGTAAAAATCACACACATTTATGCGCATTCACAGACAATTTAGCTAAAAATAATAATGAAAAAGGCCATTAATTCATATAATCACAAGTTATACGCGACCGAAACAGATCAAACAAAGGGAAACGTAACCTAAGAACACAATTTCACAAAATGGAATAGAGAGAAAAAGGAGAGAGGAGAGCAAACCTTAGGTTGAGCATCAGAACCAGAATCCCTAACAGAGGTGGATGCAGATCCCGATGATCGTTTAACTCTCTTCTTCTCCGCTCCGACCGGCTTCTTCATCTCTCCCTCTTCTTTCGAGTCGGAGAGTTTTGTTTTTCGATTTTTTTTTTTTCTTACAGATCCAAAGTTTTTTGTTTTGTTTTAACAAAAAAAATTCCTGGTTTTCTTGTAAACCGTAATTCAGATTGCAAAACCGGTTTACCAGAGATTTATTACCAAAAATGAGAAGAATACAGACTACAGAGACAGAGAAGTAGAGAAGAAGAGTAGAGTAGGAAACAAAAACCGATGGAAGCTCTTATTGCTTCGACTTCTTTCTTCCTCCCCATCTCCAACTCTTCCTCACACATTCGATTCTTCCCTTCGCCGTCGTCTCCCAACTTAAATTTCGGGACTTTTCGGAAAAGTTATACCTCCTTGTCATCATCATCACACCTCGTCTACTCCTCTTCTGCAATCTCCGCACCTCCTTCTTCTGTTGCTCCTACTAGAAACTCATATTGGATGGTGTTATTGGACAAGCCTCCGCAATGGGTTTCTTCTAAATCCGATATCGTAGATTATTATGTTGAGATTCTTGCGAGAGTGATGGGCAAGTGGGTTCCTTTCTTCCTTTTGTTTGTTACTTTATGAGCTTTGTGATTTTAGACTTTTACTTAATACTGTTACTTGTTTGCAGCGAAAAAGATGCGCAGATGAGTATATATGATGCTTCATTTGATACCCATTTCGGTTTTTGTTGTCATATCGACGAAGCTGCTTCACGCCAGCTCGCTCGTGAGTAGTGTTATATGTTCGCTTAATTGCCATAGAGAACTTTCAGATTCTGTTTCGTAGTGTTTGAATTTTTTTATTTTTTTTGTGAATTTAGGTTTACCGGGAGTATTATCTGTTAGACCTGAAGCAGGTTACAGTTCAGAGAAGAAGAATTATGGTATTGGGAATCAGAAAGTTGTTTCCCTGTTTGATCATGGGACAGTGAAACATTGGATGGTACGCATAGATAAGCCGGGAGTTGGAATGGTTACTAAAGCGCAGATGGTTGATCATTGTGTTCAATTGCTATCCAAGGTTTTGTGGAAGTATGTGTCTTGTTTGATTCTGCCTCGAGGAATCTATTGTCTCATTCAGAGTTTAATAGCATGTTCTTACCCTTTTTTTTTTTTTTTTTGCAGTGAAAAGGATGCACAGATGTGTCTTTATCATGTTTCCTGGCAGTCTGACTTCGGTTTTTGTTGTGATCTTGATGAGAAAAGTGCCGTGGAGTTAGCTGGTTTGTGAGTTTGTCAAATGGAAATCAGGCAACAATGTTTGTTGACTTGTTTCTGGATTAAATTAATAGATGAAGAGATGGTTTTTAATTGATGTAGGTGTTCCTGGTGTTCTTGCTGTTGTTCCTGATAACAGTTTCGAGTCACTAACCAAAGCCTATGAAGGTTTGTCTTGGATACTGATCTTATGATTGAAATATTTTGCTACAATATTGTTTAGAATCTTTAAAAACCTCACCCTTAGCTGAATTGATGAGAATAGATGTGTTAAAATTCACATTGTAATACCTTTGGCTCTCTATTCTTTTCCGAAAGGTGATAGTACACAAGATTCAAGAGATCATGATGATTCAGAGTCTCCTCCCGTAAAGACGAAGAAGCTGTTTATAACTGGTATGCTAACACTTGAAATTGTATGCATGCTTTTGGTATAGTGACTTAATCTCCACAGAAAACTCAGTTTACTTCTAATTGCAAGCATCTTAAATTCTCAATTTACAAATAAAGTTCATTCAGAAGATAACATTTACTGATAGATCATGTATCTCGGGTTCAGGACTGTCTTTCTACACATCTGAGAAGACATTACGTGCAGCATTTGAAGGGTTTGGTGAACTAGTGGAAGGTATTCATGGTTTTCAATCCAATTTAAGGGTCAAAGCTACTATTGGGAAAATTTAGATAATCACAGCCTAAAGTTTTCATCTGCAGTCAAAATAATTATGGACAAGATATCAAAGCGATCAAAAGGCTATGCCTTCCTAGAGTACACGACAGAGGAAGCTGCAAGTGCTGCACTAAAAGAGATGAATGGAAAGGTAAAGCAAGGTTTTTGAGATCCTAGAGTGTTTAGTATATATCTACTGGAAGTGAAATCTGAATATGAATATTAAAGAGAGAGAGAGAGAGAGAGAGAGAGAGAGAGAGGGAAAAACATGCTTGATTCTCAAATGTTAAGGTGATGTTTTCTCTGTGCAGATTATTAACGGGTGGATGATAGTAGTAGATGTAGCCAAGACCAAACCATTCAGGCAAAACAGAAGTCAACCGAGTTCTGGGTTCTAGAAACGAGTCTTAGGTGATACGAACATGGTGATTGGGTGCTTCAGGCCAAAAAAGCGCAGGCATGCAGTGTCCATGTATCACACTAGGTCGAGGCTTTAAGAGGGTGTAGAGTGCCAGCTCTGCAAAATAGAAATTTAGCCTCTATCCACATTTGGTTGTAGGATTCGCACATCCACTCATCTTTTGTAGCTGCCAAATTTGTCAGAATGGGCATTGTTTTAGCATTTAGGAACTTGAAATACACAAAAGTTGCTTCTTCTATAAATATTGCTTAGGACAAAATTTGTTTACTGCAATTGTGATGTTGTATATCTTGTGAGTTATTATTTTTGGTAAGAACTTGAAACATTATTTGTGTTTAGAGGCTTTATGAGTTACATACAACAAGATTATGTCTTTCTTAGCATGTTTAGGAAGAGTAGTCTTTACCCTGAGATTTTTCTTCACTTGTATAAATTGCTTATTATGTTGTGTGTAGTCAACAGGTTTTGAACGTGGAAAAGGAAGAACATCTTGCATCTCTACGAGTAAGCATTCAAGAGACTGTTGTGAGGTACATTGCTTACACTGTGAGTTAATTTTGGATCGTTCTGTTTTGTTGTTTTGGTCAGCTTGGGAGGATCTGAACATTAGATATTTAATTATTGATATTATCAATTTGATCACCAATGTCAACTTCTGATTTGAGTTTACTTCACGTTTTCCCAAAGAAGGAGCATTTTTAAAAGTAATAAACAAAGCATGACTTGGTCGTACTTTATATTAATGGATTCTTGATTGTGTTTCATCCACTTCTTCACTTTGGAGCAATAATGGCAGCGTTTATCAGCGTTGACTTTCAGAACTGCTTCATCTTCACTCTCTTATTTCTCTTCTCAATCGTCTGTTACACTCTCTTTTTCAAGAAATCGAAGGACTCACGAGGCTGTGATCTGCCTCCGAGCCCACCGTCTCTTCCGATAATCGGTCATCTTCACCTTCTCCTTTCTTTTCTATCCCACAAGTCTTTACAGAACATCTCCTCCAAGTATGGACCCCTCGTCCATCTCCGGATCTTTAACGTCCCCATCACCCTTGTTTCGTCGGCCTCGGTGGCCGACGAGATCTTCAGGGCCCACGATGTGAACATCTCCTCTCGCGGTGCTGCTGCTATCGATGAGTCCCTCGTGTTTGGATCTTCTGGCTTTGTCTACGCTCCCTATGGAGATTACTGGAAGTTCGTGAAAAAGATCATCGTCACTAAGCTGCTTCGACCTCAGGTTTTAGAGCGGTCACGAGGTGTTCGTGCTGAAGAGCTACAATGGTTTTACAACAGAATTCTCGATAAGGCGAGGAAGAATGAGAATGTTGAGATAGTTAAGGAAGCCACGATGCTCATGAACAACATCTTGTGCAGGATGAGCATGGGAAGGAGTTTCTCAGATGAGAATGGTGAGGCAGAGAGAGTTAGGGGCTTGGTGGATGAATCATATGCCTTGTCGAAGAAGATTTTCTTCGCATCTGTACTGCGCAGACCGCTTAAGAAGCTCGGAATACCACTATTCAAGAAGGATATAATGAATGTTTCCAACAGATTCGATGAGCTGCTAGAGAAGATTCTTGTGGAACACAAAGAGAAACTGGACGAGGAGCATAAAGATACAGATATGATGGACGTGTTGTTGGCAGCTTATGCAGACGAAAACGCAGAGTATAAGATCACTAGGAATCATATCAAGTCGTTTTTTGTGGTAAATGTTCCTCATAATGTCAAATTTCATATGAGGAGGATCTGAACAAAAATTAATTATAATTGTTTCGGGTCTTTTCGATGCAGGAGCTTTTCGTGGGAGGCACTGATACATCGGTGCAAACAACACAGTGGACAATGGCTGAGATCATTAATAAACCTGACGTTCTTGAGAAGCTGAGAGAAGAAATCGATTCTGTTGTAGGGACATCAAGGTTGATTCAAGAAACAGATATTCCGAACCTTCCTTATTTGCAAGCAGTGGTTAAGGAAGGACTAAGATTGCACCCACCATTTCCTCTCCTGACTAGGAAGGTCCAAGAAAGGTGTGAGATCAAAGGGTTCTACATTCCGGAGAAGACATTTCTTGTTATTAATGCTTATGCTTGGATGAGAGATCCTGACTCCTGGGAGGAACCTAATGAGTTCAAGCCGGAGAGGTTTCTAGCTTCTTCAAGATTAGGACAAGTAGAGGAGAGAGAGGAATCTCAGAAGTACATTCCTTTCGGCGGTGGAAGGAGAGGCTGTCCTGGATCAAATTTAGCTTCTATATTCGTAGGAACCGCAATTGGAGTGATGGTGCAGTGCTTTGACTGGGGAATCAAAGGAGATAAAGTCGACATGGAAGAGACTTTTGAAGGACTGACCCTTACCATGGTTCATCCGCTGAAGTGCACTCCAGTTCCTCGAACCCTGCCTTTTCTTTAACTTCTAATCTCCAGAGTACTAGCTCCTGACACCTAACTCTGGAACCTGTAAGAAAGCCATGTTTGTTGTATTGAAAATCAAACATTCAGATCAAAGAAGGCTAAAGTATCTATAACTTTCATCACTCTAGCTCTCTATAACTATTTGAATTTTCGTATTCCATACATTGTTTCTAAATACATCTGAGAAGACATTGCGTGCTGCTTTTGAAGGGTACATAGTTTACCATACAAAAATATGCTTATTGATTTGTTTTATGTAGTTTGAAAAGTCAATTTTTTTAACTGTCATGTGTACAAACATAATCAAGGCGGTGGTAAAAAAAAGGTCAATCCTTTATAACGCCTTTATTAGAATCTCTCCGACGAAACAAACCATCCGAACGACGACGACATAAGCTACACCTCTGTTTTTTTTTTTTTTTTCTTTTTCCTTCTGGTCTGTTTTGCGATTTGGACGAAACCCAATTTAGCCGAGCTGTTGCGTTTCGATTTCGCGTGAAAGTTTCAATTTTTGAAACACTAAAAGGGGTGCAGCAATGAAAGGGATTGCGAGGCTTGTATCCTCTTCTCTTTCGCGACTTGGAGGTCGCGAGATCGTTTCTGGAAAAAGTAGTGTTTCTTCGTCGTCTTTTTTCTCTCTTCTCCAATCTCGTCGCTCGCTTTTCATCTCTTCGACCAATTTACTTAATTCACGGGGGAAGGATTCTGCTCTTACATCATCGAGATCTTCTTCACTTCCTCAGAAATGGTCCTTCCTCGGAGGTATGGTTCTTCTACGTTGTTTGTTTCGTTATTGGCATATATATAGTAGTAGAGTTAGCTCGCTCTTCTTATATTCGTAATTTGATCATTCTTCTAGAAATTAGACTGTTCCAAGCTTAGAGTTAAAACATTTTTTTTTAAAGCTCATGAGTGATTTAGACGAATGAAATCGAGATTCATGTGTATATTGAGCAGGGCAGAGAAGAACGATGTTTATCCAAACACAGTCAACTCCGAATCCTTCTTCTTTGATGTTTTATCCTGGCAAACCAGTCATGGAGGTTGGAAGCGCAGATTTTCCTAATGTTCGTTCAGCTCTGGGTTCGCCATTGGCCAAGTCCATTTACTGCATTGATGGTATTGTTATCTATCATCTGTGATCTGTTTGTTCGTCTAATCAATCGAAAGACTTTGTCTTTAATGTGGTTATGATGTTCTCTTCTTTTGATTTTGCAGGTGTAGTTCGAGTTTTCTTTGGTTCTGATTTTGTTACTGTGACTAAGTCAGATGATGTATCATGGGATATTCTCAAGCCTGAGATATTTGCGGCAATCATGGATTTTTATTCTTCTGGCGAGCCTTTGTTTCTGGACTCACAAGCTGCTGCTGCCAAGGATACCGCCATCAGCGAGGTAAACTAAAACCCCTCCTGCACTATCACCATTGCGAGCGTTTCATTTCTGTAGTTTCTGTTGGTTTTCGCCTTGTTGGCCTATGAACGAATGATCATTTGTTGAGTAATTGAGAGTGATAGTACCGCTTTCCCATAAATATGATGTTCTGTATGGATTGATATTTTCCAATGCTCTCCAAGATTTGGTAGATAACCCACTAGTATAAGTGTTGTTGTTTTTGTTAATCCCCCATTGGTGAAACTTTTTTGTGATTAAGGATGACTCTGACTCTGTTTTGATGAAGTTTGTGTTGATTGTTTGGTGTGTAATTAAACATTATCGTGAGGATTTATTGAAGGATTTGGAGAGTAATAGTTTGCCGTACATGTTATATAAACATCAGAGACTTGATTATGTAATATATACCAGTTGCGTTGATGAGCTGATGAATATGCGTTAGGAACTTGAAATAGTAGTTGGGCGTGACAATCTGACGGGAAGAGACTATTTTCCCATAAATATAATGTTCTATTATTTGTATTGACGTTTTACAATGCTCTCCACGATTTTGGTAGATATATAAGCCAATGGTAACAAGTGTTGTTGTTGTTGTTGTTGTTGTTTCCCTCATTGGTGGGTGAAACTTTTTGGTGATTCAGGATGACTCGGAAACCGTAGCAATGATCAAGGAACTCTTAGAAACGCGCATCAGACCGGCGGTCCAAGATGATGGTGGGGACATTGAGTATTGTGGGTTTGATCCGTAAGTTTACTTACTCGAGCTGTAGCAATGATCAAGGAAATTTGTTTCTTTCTATCTCTTAAGTAAAATCATTTTGGGTGGGTTTGATCAGGGAAAGCGGTATAGTGAAGCTGAGGATGCAAGGAGCTTGTAGCGGCTGTCCAAGCTCATCTGTCACTTTGAAATCGGGAATCGAAAACATGCTGATGCATTATGTATCCGAGGTAACAGAAATCATCCCAACAGTTTGTTACATATGGATAGTAAGCTGGATTGTGTTAAAGTTGTGATGCTAAGGAACCATTGGAGGATCAAAAACTTGTTACTGTCTCTTCTTCTGATGAAAGGGTTGTGTGCAGGTTAAAGGTGTAGAACAAGAGTTTGATGGGGAAGATGAAGAGGGAACGTTGTCTGGAGAGATGAGAGTGGAGTAAGATATCTCCTCAAGCATATCCTCTCTGCTCTGCTAGTGTACAGAAGAATAAATCTTAGTGAGTACACTTTTTTCTTCAACCCTTGTGTTTTTGGGCTTTGTGAATCACAATCGAGAGAATCTACTGAGAGATCAGGGTTAATTTGTTATGTACCTTTTTGTTGACCTACAGGAATAAATTGTTTTGATTATATAGAGTTTTCCCAAGGAATAATGCACTAGAGGAGTTTTCTGTAACACTTGAATTTCCCAACTCTGATATTATTACACAAGCTTTTAGTAGATGACATTTACCCTACCATCAATATGCAAATTAAGATAGAGTTTTAGCAGATGTTTGAATTTTGATTCCTAGAATAGACAATCCTGCTTTTTTCATATGAGCAGAACATTGAATGTATGCTGTCCCTGCCACAACAATCGATATTTCAATCTATAAACACTGTTATACATAAGTCCCAATTAAAGAACGTTTATCCATATCATATCTCGCTGAGATGTTTAGTTTAAGCAGATAGTTGAATTTCTCAGGACATTGTTGTCCAGGTCTCAATGAAGGCTGATATATGCAGAAATTGAAGTTTTCTCAATAGAAGAATGCTGATTGTTAAAATGCTGTCCCAGCTCCAACAATAGATATCTTCAACCGAACAATTGAGATTCCAGTCTCTAAAATGTATAGTGTGTTTCAGTCTCTAGAGACATATTGCATGCGTTTTCAATCAAGATTCCAATAAGCAAGAGTTTTTCTTAGCAGACATTTGTGTTTTCAATCTCTAGAAGAGACAGATAAATTTTTCTCCATATAAACAGAACACTGATTTTCTCCCAAGCTAACAAGCTGCACGCAATTGTTTTTCCCATTCGTAGCAGCTTTAGAAGAGCCTAATTAGTGGCATTTACTCTCCATCAATGTTAACATGTTGTTCCAGCTCCCAACAAGATATCTTTTAATCGGGCTATTGAGCTTTTCAATCTTTGAAAGCCATTAAACGAGACTTGTTATAGTACCTTTATTCCCCATCAATTAGCAGAATACAAACCTTGATAAAGGCTGAACTTAGCAGAGATGTAAATATTCTCTGTATTAGAATATTGCATTGCTATTATGCTGTCCCAGTTCCAACTATAATAAATATTTTAACCTGATGATTGAGCTTAGCTTTCCAATCTTACAAAGCCATTACACAAGCCTTATTAAAGGACTTTTATGTTTTTATCCTCCATCAATTTGCAGAATAAGACATCATTGTACAAGACATCATCTTAGCAGAAATTGAAGTATTCTCTATGTTCACATGTCTTTCCCAGCTCTGGTTAAATATCTTTCAATTGGGCAATTGAGCTTTCCATTCTTAGAAAGCCATTAGATCAGCTTTATTACATGACTTTTATTTTCCATTAGATTTCCAGAATATTGAATTTCTCAGGCCATCACTGTTCAAGCCTTTATCATAGCAGAGATTGAAGTATTCTCTATAGCAGAATATTGGATTTTAACTTGCTGCCCCAGCTACAACAACATATCTTGTAATAATCGGACATACATTAGTGTACAAGCCTTATAGGCTGATCTTAGCAGAGATTGAAGTATTCTCTATGTTATAATCATGTCCCAGCTCCAGCAAGACATCTTTCAATCAGAAATATATCATCTTACAAGCCTTATCAAAGGCTGATCTTAGAAGAGATTGAAGTATTCTCTGAATCTCTGTAGCAGAATATTGAATTGCTATCATGCTGTCCCAGCTCTAGCAGAAATATATATTTTAAACCGACAATGGAGCTTTTCAATCTTTCAAAGCCATTACACAAGCCTTATTAAAGGACTTATCCTCCATCAATTTGCAGAATATTGACTTATCTTAGCAGAGATTGAAGTATTCTCTATGTTAACATGTTGTCCCAGTTACAACAAGATATCTTTTGATCTGACAATTGAGTTTTTGCCCTCCACTAAAGAAGCCATATTAAAGGACTTTTATTCTCCATCAAATTTGCAGAGTGTTGACTTGTACAATTTAAGCAGAGAATTGAATTTCTCAGGACATCATTGTCCAAGCCTTAGTAAAGGCATAGCAGAATATTCGATTTTTATTTTCTGCCCCAGCTACAACAACATATCTTTTGGTCGGGCATACATCATTAAACAAGCCTTAAAGGCTGCTCTTAGCAGAGATTGCAGTATTCTCTATAGCAGAATATTGAAACTTGTTGCCCCAGCTCCAACAAAATACCTTTTATTCGGACATGCATCATTGTACAAGCTTTCAAGGCTGATCTTACCAGAGATTAAAGTATTTTTCTATGTTATAATGTTGTCCCAGTTCCAGCAAGACATCTTTCAATCGGACAAATATCATTGTACCAAGCCTTAAAAAAGGCTGATCTTAGCAGAGATTGTAAAATTCTCTATAGCAGAATGTTAAATTGCCGTCCCAGCTACAGCATTATATCTTTTAAACGGACAGAGACAAGCCTTAACAAAGGCTAATCTTGGCAGAGATTATAGTCTCTATAGCCAAAGTATTGAATTTTTTTACTCACTGTCCCAGCAACAGCAAGATTTCTTTTAATCGCACAACTGAGTTTTCCCCTTATTACACAAGCCTTATGAAAGGACTTTTATTCTCCATCAAATTTGCATATATAGTTTAAGCAGAGAATTACATTTTCTCACGACATCTTTGTCCATGCCTTAACAAAGACTGATCATAGCAGAGATATTGAATTTTCCATCAAGCTGTCCCAGCACAGCAAGACAGTAGAGACAAGCCTTAACAGAGGCTGATCATCTTAGCAGAGATTGCAGTATTATCTATGTTATCACTTGTTGCCCCAGCTCCAGCAACATATCTTTTATTCGGACATGCATCATTGTAATAGCCTTAAAGGCTGATCTTACCAGAGATTGAAGTATTCTCAATGTTATAATGCTGTCCCAGTTCCAGCAAGACATCTTTCAATTGGACAGATATCATTGTACCAAGCCTTAAAAAGGCTTATCTTAGCAGAGATTGAAATATTCTCTATGTAATAACTTGTTGCCCCAACTCCAACAACATATCTTTTATTCGGACATGCATCATTGTACAAGCCTTCAAGGCTGATATTACCAGAGATTGAAGTATTCTCTATGTTATAATGCTGTCCCAGTTCCAGCAAGACATCTTTCAATCGGACATATATCATTGTAACAAGCCTTAAAAAAGACTGATCTTAGCAGAGATTGTAAAATTCTCTGTAGCAGAATGTTAAATTGCCGTCCCAGCTACAGCACTATATCTTTTAATCGGGACAGAGACAAGCCTTAACAAAGACTGATCTTGGCAGAGATTATAATCTCAATAGCCAAAGTATTGAATTTTAACTCACTGTCCCCAGCAACAGCAAGATTTCTTTTAATCGGACAATTGAGTTTTTCCCTTATTACACAAGCCTTATTAAAGGACTTTTGTACTCCATCAAATTTGAGCAGAGAATTGAATTTTCTCAGGACATCTTTGTCCAAGCCTTAACAAAGACTGATCATAGCAGAGATATTGAATTTTCCATCAAGCTGTCCCAGCACAGCAAGACGGTAGAGACTGGTTATCTCCAATATTATTGGGACAAGATTTTTCTCACGGACGTATCGGACAATTTCCCCAAGTTTGAAACCGGACAGACACAATCATATGTTATGTGTCAAGCTGCCCCAGAACAGCAAAACAATATTATTCGGACAAGACAAGACTTTTATTTATCACAGATGTGATCTGATATCGGACAATTTACCCAAGTTGGAAAACGGATAAACACAAACAAGTCATGTGTAGTCGCTTTCCTTTGGGTATCATAATTTAAAACAATACTAAAACCAAAGACCACAAAAGTCTCTGGAAAAAAATCCCTCGTTAAGAAGAATCTAAATCAGGGATTTTTTTTGAAAACTCTGAATCTCCTTAAAAAAGAAGAAACAGAAGGGTTTTTGATTTGTAGAAACAGAACAATCAGAAACCCTAATATGTAGAAGAATAAGAAGAAGGATTTGGATTTAGTTAAAGAAAAACCCAAAACTATGAAGAAGAAGATCTTCAGTATCGGTTCAGAGAGAAAACGAGAGCGAAGGAAGAAAATAGCAAATTGTGAGAAGCTGAAAGTACCAAACATCGCAACCTTCTTATATAGAGTTTTAGTTTAGTAACCGTTATAATGGGCCTAAAAGCATAAGCCCATATCTTCGTTTTAGGTTTTCCTTTTTCTTATAACTATTTCCATTTTTGTTTTGACATTTTTTACTATTTCTTTTTTTTATTGGCATCTTTTATTATTTCTTTTAATTTAATCTGGGGAAAATACATTAGTTTCCTTTTTGCTTCAACACAATTTCCTTTTTTCTTATGTAAAAACAAAATCTAAATATAATTACGCGAAAAAAAGGAAACTATATTTTTTCACAATAACATTAATCACCCAACCGGTCAATCCAATTAAACTAAACGAGAATGAACCATATTTAATTTCCGGTTTACTTTTGGCTTAGAGTTTACGGTTTGGCTATAGAAATAAAACGTGTTGGAGAAAAATGGACAAAACCTTTCTTCTTCTAGTCTAGAGGAACATAGAGAGAAGAAGTAAAAAAAACCCTAACAATCACCGGTAATGACGGCGGAGAAGAAGATACCGACCCTACAAGAAGTTGTTTCCGGTGACCTGAACTATGAACAATGGGCTACAATCGTGAAAGCTACTCTAGCTGAAAAAGGACTTTGGGATGTTGTTGAACATGGAATCCCGCCCAACCCATTGAATATTCCAGAGCTAGCGATGAAGATTCAACCCGAAGATCTTTCAAGATGGAGAGATTTTGCTGGAAAAGACACAAAAGCGCTACAGGTTTTGCAATCTTCTCTCCCAGATTCGGTTTTCAGATTGACACTTGCGACTGCTTCAGCCAAACATCTTTGGGATTTGTTGAAAGAAGCTAACGTACAAGCCGAGTTAGAGAAGAGATTGGAACAAGTCAGGTTAGAGGAAGGAGATTCGAAAAGGGTTATGAGATCTAGGCTGCCTAGACTAGGCATGAAAGAGGGGAGTGTATTCAGTGTGGAGGAAAAGGGCATGTCTTCAAAAACTGTAGAAACAGAGAGGATCAAAGCAGGAATGAGGCAATACCTGAGTATCAAATGTTAGCTTTCAATGTTGCTCCTGTGACATTTGATAAGGATATGTGGATGATATACAGCACCACCTCGAACCATATGACTCCGTATGAGAAGTATTTCACCACTTTAGACAGAACACACAGAGGTCGGATCAGATTCATCACGGGACATTCTATCATGTCTGAAGGAATAGGAGATGTCAGGATCATTACCAAAGAAGGGAAGAAGAAGACGTTCAAGAATGTGCTTTTTGTTCCCAAGATCGACAGAAACGTGTTGAGTGTTGGTCAGATGGCAGAGGCAAGCTATGGAATTATAACGACCGCTCACAAATGCACTATAAAGGATCAGGCTGGGAGACTATTTGGTGAATCCATGTGGGAAGAGAGAGGTTTTTTTCTTCGTTTGGAGGTGGTTGAAGGTAACCTCTAGTTGCTAGACTAACTAGTAATCAATCTACTATACAGACTTGATTCGGTGTTTAATTAGTTTGGATCATCTGGCATTAATCTAGTATGCTGCAACTGTTTTTTCAGATATGAACATCTAATTGCTAGACTTAGCTTATTAGTAATCAGTCTATTTTATGCTGATATGGTTATGTTCATTCAGTTTTGAAGTTTGAACTTTGAATCATCTTGGTAGTAAATAATCATGTTGGTGTGGTTAGTTGTAATCACACACTGACCCAAGTAAAAACCACCAACCCTTCTCAGCACTAGAGTCTGGAGAGACTTGCATGTGATGTAGCGTGTTACGGACTACGGTAACTTTTTTTGGTAAAACGGACTACGGTAACTAAACCGGGATTAACCCAATTAAATTGAATTAGACTTGACCAAATTGGGTTCCCCTTAGAATAATTCATCCCAATGGCAATTAGTTATATCCAAAACCGATTCGTAAATACTGTATCAACCCAAGTGAATCATATTTAAATTGTGGTAGAACTTCAACACCAAAGTAACGGATATTTAAATTGCACCAGAATTAACCGGAATCGGTTTGAACTCCATTTCAACAAAATTCAAGAATGTATTTTAAAGTTTGGTCGTATTAAATTCACGGTACTAAAATTTCAAAAACGTATGCATGTAATCAGATTATTATACCTTTTGCAGTTTTAAAAAAATAAAAATAAAAATAGTGATTTTGTGAACTCTCAAGTTAGTAAATAATTAATTGTAAATAAGATTTGGCTTTCCTCAAAAGAATATAAAAATTTACTATGGTATATACTGTTTTAGTAATATGCGGATACGACGGCGGCGAATATTTATTTTTGTTCATTTCAAAATTCAAATTATATAAGATATTTTTAGTATTTCGTAATGATGCAATTATGAATATAAATAACCTCTTCTCAAAGAGGACCAAGACAGTACAAACAGAGGAAATCCTAAACTTAGTACTACGAGAGGAGATGGTGGTTTTATATGTGGAGAGACCACCGACTCTACAAGAGGATATTTCCGATGACATGAACATTGAAGTCTGGTCGGCGACGATGAAACTACATTAGCCGAGAAAGGGCTTTGGGATGTCGTTGAGAATGGAGTCCCGCCTGATCCATCAAAGAATCCAGAGTCAGCCTCGTATCTTCATGTGGAGGAGCTTCGCAGATGGAGAGAGCTCGTGAGAAAGGACACGGAAGCACTCCAAATATTGCAGTCTGCTCTCCCAGAGTCTATTTTCAGAAAGACTCTAACGGCAGCTTCGGCCAAGGATCTTTGGTGTATGGTGGAACCTTTACCTGATCATCACTTGTTTGCGTTTCATCCTTGTGATATGACAGTTGATGAGGATATGTGGATGATATACTCAAATGCCACGAATCATATGACTCCATATGACAAGTATTTCACCACTTTGGACACAAGTTACCGAGCAAGGGTTAGATTCTTGTTTGGACAGACTGCCATGGCTGAAGGAATGGGAGATGTGAGCATCATGACTAAAGATGGGATCGAGATGACGATCAAGAATGTGCTTTACGTTCCAGGGATGATGGGGAGCGCGTTGAGTGTTGCTCAGATGGAGAGGAGTGGTTACGGAGTTGCAATGGAGAAAGAAACTAGATGCACACTATATGGGATAAGACGACTGGCAAGACTTTTGGTGAAACCATGTGGCAATATGGAGGTTTCTTCCTGCGTTTGAAGGTGATTGAAGGTAACCTTTAGAGGCAGGGCAGTGGAATAACGTGGCAAAATCGATGGATTTGGTTTGGCTTTTATTCTGTTTTCATCTTGTTACTTTGTTGTTTTGATCCAAAAAAAAACCTAATTATGTATTACGACAAGGGTTTTATACCCCAGTCTTCACCTTAGCGGTATTTTTAACATTATTAATGTGTTTTACTGATGGTGATGGATATTCATTGCTGGTGCCAATTCTGTCAATGATGGCAAAATATTGATATAGCTGTGTTAAAAAGTTTGGATATATATTCGACTGTAGATTACAAAACTAGGCAAATGCATGTATTAAATATTGTGTTACAAAGTACGATATATTTTGGATTACATGGTAGCTTAATGTCGGTAGTAAAACAAGTTTCGATGCTTAAAAAAAAAACAGAGAAAACTCAATGATATGGCTCGGGCTTCTGGTGGGCCGAATCAATTTCGTTCGGGCTGGGCTAGGCTTTCTATTATCCTATCCACTGCAACACCCCTAGATTTAGGGTTCGGATGATGCAACAATATATAAATAGAAATAAATAAAGTGTTGGGTTTTAGGGAGACAGTTCGTTCATACGCTTGGTCCAAGACAACAACACACGAAAATGATAATGGAAGGGGATTGGTGGAGGGCGAGAAGACCGTCTCTACAAGACATCATTTCCGAAGACCTAAACATCGAAGTCTGGTCGGCGGTGATGAAAACCACCCTAACAAGAACGGAGTTTGGGATGTGGTAACGAACGGAATCCCGCCGGATCCATCGAAGATTCCAAAGTCAGCGGCGACGATTGAAGCCGAAGAGCTTTGCAACTGGAGAGAACTTGCGAGAGAAGACATGAAAGCACTCCAAATACTGCAGTCTGCTCTCCCAGATTCTGTTTTCAGAGAGACACTCTCGGCTGCTTCGGCTAAGGATCTTTGGGGTTTGCTAAATCAAGTCCCTGAGCATGTAGTTAAAACGTTTGTTGCTGATGATTCTACTTTTTGTCCGGACACTTGGTTGATAAGCCCCGTTAACTCTAATCATGTTACTTCATATGAGAAGTTTTTCACCACTTTAGACAAATCACGGAAAGCTAAGGTTAGTTTGATATCTGAATATAGTACCACCATGGTATTGGCAGAAGGAATTGGGGATGTGACTTTCATGACTGATAAAGGTGAGAAGACGATCAAGAATGTGCTTTACGTTCCAGGGATCGAGGGAAACGCGTTGAGTGCTTCTCAGATGCTGAGGAGCGGCTTTGATATTTCAATGGGTGAACAAAAATGCGCCATATGTGATCGAAAGACTAGGAAGCCTTTTGGTGAAACCATCAAGGGAAAGAGAGGCTTTTTACTGCGTTCTCATGTGATTCAAGGTAATTGTCAAACCAAGAGGAGAAGGATTACATAATACCAAGTTTAATGTTATAGGCAAGGCAGTGAGACTATTAATTTGAGTAAATAAGATTGGGCAGCTGATTGATGGATTTGGCTAGGTTTATTTTGGTTCCCTTTTTGTGTCTTTGTTCTAGAAAGTAGAAAGCTAATAGCCACTGTGTGTTTGGAAATATAGTTTGGATTTCTGTGTGTTGTCCGGATGTGAACATTGGTGTTAGCCAAAGGTTTCTCAACGTCTTAAATGTTGGTATTTTAACAATTATATAAATTATAAAACTAGGCAAACATAAAAATGATACGAACCCAACTCTGATTTTAACTATGAGTTAATGGAGATTATGAAAATCAATCAAAACGTTAAAGCTATCCTAAAATCAATGATAATTAATTAGTGGAGCCGTTTTTGGGATTTTGTTTGTGGTTGAACTTTTTTAGTCAAGGATTGCATTTCTAGACTCGGTATTGATTCCATCTATTGTCCGGTATAAAGGAAAAGCCAAAATGTAATACAAGCCAGAGTTGTTTTCAGTGGAGTTCCCTTTGGTTGACTATATATCGAATTGCCAAACCGGATTAACACCCATATTAAAACTGAAACAGTTTTCATTAACTAAATTTGCTCTTCCTTGAAAATACGAACCAGAACCAATTCAAGAGCTCGCATCAAATTTATATGTGTAGATTTAACACTTGACGCATTACAATTTTAAGTAAACCGGACAATAGATGGAACCAATACCGAGTCTGCTAAACCGATGATATGGTGATTTTACAAATTATAACTTAGGGTTTACGGTTAGGCTTATATAAATAGATAGAAACAGTTCGAGTTATCGAAATGGCATAAAACCTCTTTCATTTTCTCCGAGAGAATATAGAGAAAAAGCAAGTTTAAAGAATCTCTCTGACGACGGTTACGACCATGGCGGCGGCGAATCAACAACGACAACAAGAAGAAGCTGTTTCAGATGACTTTGACTACGAGACCTGGGCTCCATCCATGAAAACTACACTAACCGAGAAAGGACTCTGGGATGTCGTCGAGAACGGAGTCCCGCCTGATCCATCTAAGATTCTAGAGTTGGCGGTGAAGATTCGACCCGAAGAGCTTTCAAAATGGAGAGATCTCGTCGTGAAAGACACGAAAGCGCTTCAGATTTTGCAGTCTTCTCTCACGGAATCTGTTTTCAGAAAGACTCTCTCTGCTTCTTCGGCCAAAGATGTTTGGGATCTGCTTCGAAAAGGTAACGAACAAGCGAGGATACGTAGGTTAGAGAAGCAATTCGAACAAGTTAAGAAAGATGAAAAAGAATCGCTAGATTGCTACATTGATAGGGTTTCTGAGATCGCTGATCAGTTGCGTGTTTTGAAAATTGAGAAATCCGATTACCAGATTTGCCAGAAGGTGTTCCCCTCGCTCTTAGAGTCGTACGATGGTGAAGAATCGATGTTGGATGAGCTCATGAACGTGCATCACATGAGTGCTGCGAGTCTTGTTCAGTATTTTTATGAAAATAGATATGATTTTGGATCAGTGAACGAGGAAGTTCTCCTTGAACTATTGACCAACCTTAGGCTTAAACCAACGTCTGAGAAGTGGTGTGACGTGTGCTACAAGATTGATCACAACCAAGAAGACTGCAGCAGGATGTTTCAGGAACAAGTTGTACAAGTTAAAGTTGATTTTGAACTGGCAACGCCTGTGAGGTTAAATGAAAAGACATATGATGAGGATATTTGGATGGTCTACGGGGCTGCCACAAGTCACATGACTCCGTATGAGAAGTATTTCACCACTCTGGATAGAAGTTTCAAAGCTACTGTGGGATTGGTCGATGGAAGACTTCTTATGGTCGAGGGGAGAGGAAGTGTAAAGATCAGGATGAAGGGAGGGAAGATGAAGACGATCCAGAATGTGATTTTTGTTCCTGGGCTCAACAGGAACGTGTTTAGTCTTGAGAAGATGATATCAAGAGGCTACAGATTCAAAGAGGTACGTAAAGGCGAATACATTTTCTGCGATCGGACTGAGGCTGAATTTGGGGAAACTATGTGGGAGTCGGATGATCAAGTATTGGCTATGCGTTTGAAGGTGGTTGAAGGTAATCTCACCTCTTAAATTTGGTGGAGACGACTTTTACTCGTGAGGTGGGATCGCATTTGTCTTTATGTGATTTGCATACTATGTTGCTATTATGAATTGTTCTTGTGGTGAATTTTAACCTTGGACCGCTTGGTATGAATCTATCTAGTGTTCAAAAACTATTTGTGTTATTTCACTATATGCAATGCTTTTTTTGTTAATGGTTAGACGAATTCTAGCTAGCTAGTAGATAAAAGAAGAGTTTTTACTCGTTAGAAACCCGACCAAAGTTGATAGAAGTTTATTTATAATGGAAAGGAAGAGACAGACATGGAAAGATAGGTGTTGGATCAGTATTGGCAGATTTTGACCGTAGGCGTTGTGACACAAACTTGGACATATTCATTCTTGTTGGACAATTGAATTGAACTTGTAACTTGTCACATTTTTCCAGTTATGTAAGTGAGAATATTTTAGATCACGTTTATTTGTCGAGACTGTTTTCCAGATATAAACGTATTTTGTAGTACACTAGTAAGTTTCAAGTACTACTTAAATGATTCAGATGAATCAAATCAAGTCTAAAACCATTAACCGAATCATCATCGTTGGAGAAGCTTGCGTGTGGGTTAAGGTTAATTACTTAACCGAATCAATCCACTTTAATTGAACCAGATTTGACCAAGATTAATTTTCCTAACAATATTTAACCCTATCCCAATTAAATCTGAACCAGAATATTCAAAAGCAGAAACCACCAAATTTAATCATATGAATTTAGTCAGCCAAATACACTACCTGGACGAATGTACTTAGCTGTAATTTAACGCTTAACCGTTTGTTTATTGTATCCTCTAAACCGAACCAAAAGTTGAATAAAAACCGGGAAATTACTCATTTTGGTCATTTCGAAATGTAATTTAGGGTTAATAATTTGGTTTAATGCGACTGTATAAATAGTAAGTGTCACTGCTTGAGAGGATTAGTTTATTCGCATTTCCCCCTTTTCTCCGAAAGAATATACAGAGAAAAAAGTTTGAAGGAAACCCTGACAGTTAGGGCTATGACGGCGACGAAGATACCCGACGCCGTTGTTTCCGATGACCTGAACTACGAAATCTGGGCTCCAATCGCGAAATCTACCCTAACGGCGAAAGGTCTTTGGGATGTTGTCGTAAATGGAGTCCCTCCTGATCCATCGAAGGTTCCAGAGTTAGCAGCGACAATCCAAGCCGAAGAACTTTCGAAATGGAGAGATGTAGCGGTGAAAGACATGAAAGCGCTTCAGTTTTTGCAATCTTCTCTCACGGATTCTGCTTTCAGGAAGACGCTCTCGGCTGCTTCGGCCAAGGACCTTTGGGATTTGCTTCAGAAAGGTAACGATACTGAAGAAGCTAAGCTACGTAGATTAGAGAAGCAATTCGAGGAACTTAGTATGGATGAAGGAGAACCGATCAATTCCTACTTAGATAGGGTTGTAGAGATCGTTGAACAGATGCGCCGTTCTAAAATTGAGAAATCTGATTATCAAGTTATCGAAAAGGTGTTAGCCTCGCTCTCAGGGTCATATGATGATGTAGCTCCAGTGTTGGGGGACCTCGTCGATCTGAAGAATATGAGTCTTAAGAGTTTCGTCGAGATTTTTTTCATGTATGATTCGATAACAGAGGAATCTTTCCATCTAATGTTGAAGGCTAATAGGCTTAGAGCGATGGCTGAGGAGTCTTGTGGCTTGTGCAACAATCACAATCACAATCACAACCAAGAAGACTCTTCTTCTTCAATCGCTAGGGCAGGAAAGTCTTGTGGAGCCAAGCAATCTAAACCGAACAAGGGGAAATGCTTTCAATGTGGAGAACGAGGCCATAAAGCCAAAGATTGCAACAAAAAGAATCTGCAACCGGCGGTGACAGATGCTCAGATTGAGAGAGTTGAGGAAGAAGAAATCGAAGTTGATCATCTACTGTTAACGGATTTAGCTTTAAATGATTTCACATATGATGAGAGTATGTGGATGATGTACGGCCATGCCTCGAATCACATGACTCCATATGAGAAGCTTTTCACCACTCTAGACAAAACATACAAAGCTAAAGTTGGTCTGGTTGACGGAACAGTTATCATGGTAGAAGGAAGAGGAGATATAAAGATCAAGATGAAGGAAGGGAAGCAGAAGACGATCAACAATGTGATTTTTGTTCCCGGTCTCAACAGAAACGTGTTGAGTGTTCGTCAGATGACATCAAGAGGCTGTTCATTCACAAGTGGAGCAAGAGGCGAATACATGGTTCACGATCGGACTGGGAAAGAATTTGGGGATATTATGTTGGATGAGAGAGGATTGTCTCTGCGTTTGCAGGTGATTGAAGGTAATGCCACCTCTTAATTAGCTCTGCCTTTCACTTTGGTAGTAGACTTAACTCGTTGGGTGGACGTATGTCTCTTTTCAGTTTGGTTTTATTCCGTTTTCAATGTGCTACTCTTATTCATATCTTGCTATTTCACTATGAATTAGTATGTGGTCTGTTGAACTAGGACGGCTTGGTATTAATCTAGTTTTCAAATACTGTTTTGTTATTCACTATGCAATGCTTTTCTCAAGTTTTGTTAATGGTGAAAAGTGGACGAATTCTATTTAAAAATATATTGTGAAAAACCGATACAAAGGCTGTTCAGAGATTGCAATGCGCTTTAGCTGCTACTGGAAATATATGTTTGGAATATGTTGAAAAAAGTCAACGAAGAGTTATTAGGAGAAGCTAGCATGTGGTGGTGGGTTAAACGTTAATCACTTAACCGGATCAGTCCATTCAAATTGAATCAACCAGACTTAACCAAATTAGATTTCTCTAACCACTATCAATCTATCATAATATAATTCTTCTCAATTTGAACACTAATGTATGGAAATTATTTTAGTTTTTTTAAGAAGTAAGACGTATCTGGAACTGAGCCGAATACTTGACCAGAATATTTTTTTAAAAATAATATATGTCCTATTATTGAAGTAAACCGAACCAATAATCGAAATGTTAAACACTAACCTGAACGACTCATTTGGTGGTTTTACAAATTGCACTTTAGGGTTTGTTTGGTTTAGTGTCACACTGTCACTGTATAAAATATAGAAAGCGTCCAGGTGAGGGATTAGTTTATTCCATTCGCTTTCTCCGAGAGATCTTGATAGTTACGGGTTATGGCGGCTGCGAAAAAACAACACGACGATGTTTCCGACGACCTCAACTACGAAGTCTGGGCTCGAATCGCGAAAACTACACTAACGGAGAAAGGACTTTGGGATGTTGTCGAGAACGGAGTCCCGCCGGATCCGTCGAAGGTTCCAGAGTTAGCAGCGACGATCCAAGCTGAAGAGCTTTCAAAATGGAGAGATCTCGCGGTGAAAGACATGAAAGCGCTCCAGATTTTGCAGTCGTCTCTCACGGATTCGGCGTTCAGGAAGACTCTCTCGGCTTCTTCGGCCAAGGATGTTTGGGATTTGCTCGAAAAAGGTAACAATGAACAAGCTAAGCTACGTAGGCTAGAGAAGCAATTCGAAAAGCTAACTATGGATGAAGCAGAACCTATCGTTTCCTACTTAGATAGGGTAATGGAAATCGCTGAACAGATGCGCCGTTCGAAAATTGGGAAATCTGATTATCAAGTTGTCAAGAAAGTGTTAGGCTCGCTCTCTGAGTCGCATGAAGATGTAGCTACGCTGCTAGAAGAACACGTAGATCTAAAGAAGGTGACTCTTAAGAGGCTTGCTGAGTTTTTTAACAGATATGATGAATCAGTAAAGAGAAGTAGTCTAAGCAGGAATGAGTTGCCCGTGTATAAAATGTTGTCACTCACTCTTGAACATGAGACATTTGATGAGGATATGTGGATATTATCCAGCGGTACCACGAATCACATGACTCCATATGTGAAGTTTTTCACCACTCTAGACAGAACACACAGGGGTCGGGTACTATTGGGCGACGGATCAATTATCATGGCAGAAGGTAGAGGAGATGTCAAGATCATGACCAAAGAAGGAAAGAAGAAGACGATCAAGAATGTGCTTTTCGTTCCGGATATGGACAGAAACGTGTTGAGTCTTGGTCAGCTGGGACAATTAGGCTACATGATGATGATTAATGGAAACAAATGCATTCTTAAGGGTCAGAAGACTGGGAAAGTATTTGGGGAAACCGTGATGGATGAGGGAGCTTTATTTCTGCGTTATCAGGTGATTGAAGGTAATCTCACTTCTTAACAAGCTGCTTTGCCACTATGAATAAATTCGGTAGTAGACTTAACTCGTATAGTGTGGACAAATCTAAGTTTTTTATGTGTTTGTTTGTGCGTTTGTTCTAGTTCCAAGTTTGTTCATCTAAGAAAAGCTGATTCATATTCTGCTGTTGTAGTGTGAATTAGTCTCGTCTTTTAGCTTAGACGGCTTGGGTATTAATCTAGTTGTCAAAAACTATGTTTGTTATTCACAATGCAGTGCTTTTGTCAAGTTTTGTGAATGGTAAAAGGAGACGAATTCTAGTAGAATAAAGGGGTTCCAGTAAATTGATCAAATATTTAATAAATGATTTCAGGATCTAACTTGAGGAAATTGACCGAAATAGAAAGGAGATAAACAATACAATAATAATAGCAATGTGACATAAACTTTTGCATGCAAATCAATGAAATGGATTTGGTAGTTTATTAAAATATCACGTTTCTCATCATGACAAGGTGCAAAATTGCAATGTACGCTGTTCCGGATATAAATAGTCACATTTATATGTTTGGTGTTGTGTTGAATTTTAGAAGTAAACCAAGTTAGCAGATGCGTTTAGTTCAAACCTCAACGAATGTTTTAGTTATCAGTCAGAATAGTTCATCTTAGATCAGTGTTATAATCATACAAGTTCAGACCATCAACAACTCGAATTCATCATGGTGGAGAGAAGCTTTGAGTGTGGTGCAGGGATTAATCCGTATTCACTTAACTGGATTAACCCACTTAAATTTGACCAGATACAAACCAAATTTTACTTCCCTAACAACAATAACTAAACCGATTCGAAAGCTATGCTTAACCAAATTCCCAAGTGTTATATGATGTGATGAACTTAAAATTCATCTGGAAGTGAGTCGTTTTCACTTGGTTTATATATAACCGAACCAAGAATAAAACCAAAACCGAGCCACTAGTCAATTGAACGCTAGGGTTTGCGGTTAAGAATAAGAGTCACTATTCTATAGTGATTAGTTTAATCGCATCGCTTGGTCCAAGAGAGAATATACAGAGAAAAAGGTTCGACGACAGTTGTTAGCGGCAATGGCGGCGGTGAATATTCAAGACGGTGTCTCCGATGACTTTGACTATGAACATTGGGCTCCAATCACTAGAAAAAAACTGGTGGAGAATGGAGTTTGGGATGTTGTTCAAAACGGAGTCTCCCCAAATCCAACGAAGATTCCAGCGTTAGCGGCTACTATAGAGGTCGTAGATCTCGCACAATGGAGAAATCGTGTGATTAAAGACAACAAAGCGCTGAAGATAATGCAATCTTCTCTCCCTGATTCGGTTTTCAGGAAAACTATCTCGGTTGCGTCGTCCAAGGATCTTTGGGATTTGCTCCAAAAAGGTAACGACAACGAAGAAGCTAAGCTACGTAGGTTGGAGAAGCAGTTCGAAAATCTTATGATGTGGGAAGGAGAACCTATTGATTTGTACTTGGATAGAGTTTTGCATTTGGTTGAACAGTTTCGTAGTTCAGGAAATGCGAAATCTGATGATCAGGTTATCGCTAAGCTTTTTACTTCGTTGTCATGGTCATACGACGATGCTATTCCTGTGTTGGAGGAACTCATGAATCTGCCTGATATGATTCTTCGCGATCTTCTTGGTGTATTGAATACGTATGGTGATCATCCTGAAACTATGCCTCGTGATTTGAAGGATGTCATTAAACGTCTTAGAAAATGCAAGTCTGAGCAGACGTGGTGTGGCGTGTGCAAGAAGTACAATCACTACCAAGAAGACTGTTATTACAACCCTAGGGTAGTGGACTTGAGTGGAGGCAGAGGCCAATGCTTTCAATGTGGAGAAAGAGGGCATTATGCTAGAGACTGTGGCAACGTTAGGACGGCAACACAAGCTAAGCTAGATCGGAAGAGAGAAGTCAAAGATGATTTTACATATGATGAGGATATGTGGATGTTATACACCACCACTGCGAATCACATGACTCCGTATGAGAAGTTTTTCACAACTTTAGACCGAACATACAGAGCTGGGGTTCAGTTAGCAGACGGGAATGTTGTCATGGTGGAAGGGATTGGAGATGTCATGTTTATGATGAATGGAGTGAGGATGACAATCAAGGATGTGCTTTTCGTTCCCCGGGTCAACAGAAACGTTTTGAGTTTTAGCCGGATGGGAAAAAGAGGCTTCTCAATGGAAATGGCAGGAGGTGAATGCACTATTAGGTATCAGACTGGGAAAATATTTGTTAAAACCATGCGTGAAAAGAGAGGCATTGCTCTGCGTTTGGAGGTGATTAAGAGGTATTCACTTTGAATAAATTTGGAAGTAGACTTACTCTTTAGGTGGAATATATCAAGTCGTTTATGTGGTTTCAGTTTTGATTTTGTCGTCTAAGAAAGCTTACTCGTATTCTGCTACTGCAATATGAGTTAGTCTGGTTTTTTTATTGGTTTTAGTCTAGTTGTTTGGAACCTATTTTGTATTCACTAAGCATTGCTTTTGTCAAGTTTGGCTAATGGTGAAAGGAGACTACTCTAGTTAACAACTTAACAATGAAAGAGCTTTTAGTAAACGGATAAGGTAAATTTAGACGACTTTGACCACCCGCTATGGCCGCAAGTGGCTGAGGGAAGCTTGGCGACGGTTGGGAGGAATGTGGTGGTCATGGACATCAGTGCCATTGGTTGATAGTTGTTAAACTCCTACTATCTTACGTTTGATCTCTCTCTCTCTCGTTGGCTCTCGATTGAAGCTTGTGAGCTGGTGGAAATGACACCAACTCGTCCCAGTTACATCAACCATATTCATGTCTATAAAATTTGAAATTATACAAAGTTCTATCCTACACAGAAACAGCATTATGAGTTTATGACAGAGAAAAATGGTTCGATTTAATAAACTCTAGATTACGTAATAGAGAATGTAAACCGATTCACATAAGTTTATATAATAAAATTTCTCCAACTACATCGAACCGAGCCACTACTCAAATTGGTGATTTCCCAATTAAACTCTAGGGTTTACGGTTAAGCATAAAAGACACTTGTATAAATAGAAAGTGTTAGGGTTAGTGTTTAGTTTAATCGCTTTGGTTGCTCCAAGAGAGAATATACAGAGAAAAAGGGTAGACGACAGTTGATTGCGGCTATGGCGGCAGTGAATGTTCAAGACGGTGTTTCCGATGACTTTGACTATGAACATTGGGCTCCAATCACGAAGACGAGACTCGTGGAGGATGAAGTTTGGGATGTTGTTCAAAGCGGAGTCTCGCCAAATCCAACGAAGAATCCAGAGTTGGCGGCTACTATTAAGTCCTTAGATCTCGCACTATGGAGAAATCGTGCTAACAAAGACAACAAAGCGCTGAAGATAATGCAATCTTCTCTCCCTGATTCGGTTTTCAGGAAAACCATCTCTGTTGCTTCGGCCAAGGATCTTTGGGATTTGCTCTATCAAGGTAATGGTACCAAAGAAGCTAAGCTACGTAGGTTAGAGAAGCAGTTGGATAACCTTACGATGGATGAAGAAGAACATATGGATTTGTACTTGAAGAGAGTTTCGAAAATGATTGACCGGTTCTACTATTTGGGAACTTCACCATCCGATGATAAGCTTGTCGCCAAGCTGATAGCTTCGCTGCCAGAGACATATGAGGATTGTATTCCTTTGTTGGAGGAATTCATGACTCTGCCTGATTTGACTTCTCGCGACCTCCTTCATGTTTTTGAACATTATGGTGATGATCCTCGAACTATGCCTCAGGAGTTGCAGAAATTCATTGATTTTCTTAGAAAAGCCTGGGCTGAGGAGATGTGGTGTGACGTGTGCCAGAAGGACAACCATAACCAAGAAGACTGTTATTACAACCCTAGGGTAGTGAATTCGGGTGGAGGCCAGTGTGGAGGAAGAGGGAATCATGCAAGAGTTAGCAGCAACACTAGGAATGTGCAAGCGGCGGGAACACAACAAGCTCAGATGAGGATCCAAAAACCCGAGCATCTAATGTTAGCTTTAAATGTTGGTGGTTTGACATATGATGAGAATATGTGGCTGGTACACACCAGTACCACGAATCACATGACTCCATATGACAAGTTTTTCACCACTTTAGACAGATCGTATAGAGCTAGGGTTGGGCTGGTGGACGGGAGAGTAATCATGACAGAAGGGAAAGGAGATGTCGTGATTATGACCAAGGAAGGGAAGAAGAGAATCAGGAATGTGCTTTTTGTTCCCGGAATCAACAAAAACGTGTTGAGTGTTAGTCAGATGACTGCCGATGAAGGCGGTTCAGTAACCATGGGAGGAGGCAGATGCATTATTAAGAATCAGGCTGGGAAAGTCTTTGGAGAAGGCAACTTGGATGAAAAGAGAGGATTTATCATGCGTTTGCAGGTGACTAAAGAAGGTAGGCAGTAGACTTAATTCCTATGGTGGACGGTCTTTTATGTGGTCGTTTAGTTTGGTGTTATTCTCTGTTTCAAGTTTCTTTGCCTAAGGGCTAAGAATAAGAAAGCTAAATAATAACATTCTGCTGGTGCAGTATGAGTTTAGTTGTCTTCTTTTAACCTAGGACTGTTTGGTTTTTAATCTAGTATTATGAGGAACCATTTTGTATTCACAATGCAGTGCTTTTGTCAAGTCTTTGCTAATGATGAAACTAATGATTCTTGTAGAAAGATCAAAGGGCTTTCAGTAAAATGATCAATATACGATTACAGACCAAACTTAATTGAGAAAATTTACCGAAATTGAAAGAGAGAGAGATAGACATGATGAAGGTGGGTTTGTTGAATCAGTAGCGGCAGATCTTGGCCGTAGGCATTGTGACACAAACTTGAGCGTATTTCTTCTTGGCCGCCTCAGTCCCTCGCCTGGGCTCTTCCTCTTCCGCCATGGCTACCTTAGCCAAAGAACAAAGAGCAGCAGCTGCAGCCGTGAACATGAGGTCCCTCCTCATTGTGCTGTTGCTCTGTTCCTTCTGGGCCTTGACTTCTAAGCTGGGTGTGTTGTCGCTCGTGGAGGCTCTGACTACCGAGAGCTTTCGTCCGCTGGTGGCTGAGGGAAGCTTGGCGACGGCAGGGAGGAAGGTAGCGGTCATGGTCATGGATGCCATTGCTTGATAGTTGATTGAATCCTGCGTTTGATCACTTTCTCTCGGTTAATGAGTTTGTGAGGTGATGAAGGGGAATGTGTTTAAGAAGTTGGGTGATTTGGGTTTGTGGAATTGTGGAGAAATGATATCCATTTCCTTATCCAAATATGATTTTCGTGCAAATGGGTTATTGCCACGTGTCATGATCTATCTTTTGTAAAGAAGAACCATATAATGAGAGGTTGGTTCTCGCATAAAAAGTGTCACTAGATACTTTTGTTGTCCAGTCCCCACATGTGTATAATATAAGTCCGCTGATATAATCGAAGACGTCATTTATACTCTTTTATAATGTGTTCTTCCAATCCAGTTTTAGATATTAAAAGCTCTTACAACCAAACAAGAAGAAAAATACGATGTCGAAATTAAAATCTGAGTTTATTGACCAGATTAGAAGATTCATCAAGTACTGTCATGTTGTATAAACACAGATGATCCTTTTATCTAACTCCTACATACATATGAAAGTAAGAAATATATTGTCTAAATTACACTAAGAGGGCGTTAATTGGTTCACGGATATGGAGTTATAAGTAATTGAGAAAGTTTAATGAGATATTAGATTAAATTATTCGGAGATTATGACACTACTGGTTTAAACCCTTTTAACCCTTGGTTCTTCGCTCTCTCGAAACTGAGTAACGAGTAAAGTAAGCTCTTCTTAATCGATTCTCCTCTAATTATACCAATCTACTTTCGCATTCCTTCTCTGATTTCGTTTACGCTTTCGCAATTCCTTGTTTGATTTTGATTTCGTTTCTAAACGAAGCAAATATAAGAGAGAGATTGATAAAAAGACCTAATTGCGCCAGTTCCATTCTAATTCACATCTCTTAGTTTTTTTTTCTTTTTCTTTCTCGCTGATCGCTGTGTCGTTGCAACCCTAATTCCGAGTCACTCAGTTTGCAGACACGCTCTGAGAGACCAACATGAACGCTCCGATCATAGGCGAGCTCTATTTCCAGTACTTCTTCTTCTTCCTTTCCCCAGTGTTCTTCATCTTCATTTACTTTTCTGGGTCTCTTCTCTCTTTCTCTGTGTAGATCCATTGCAAGGAGATTTTCCGGAGGTGATTGAAGAGTTTTTGGAGCATGGAGTCATTAAATGTGTTGCCTTTAATCACCGTGGCTCTCTTCTCGCTGGTAAATACTACTCCCTTCCCAATTTTAGAGCCTGCTGTTTCGTTATCTACGAATTTGATTACTTTGTGATTTTGTTAGTATACACACATTGATGAGGATATTTTCTTGCATTTTCTTAATCTCTTAGCCGGATGTGCGGATGGGGGATGTATAATCTGGGATTTTGAAACGAGGGGTATTGCAAAGGAGATTCGTGATACTGATTGTTCTGCTGCTATAACGAGTGTCTCCTGGTCAAAGTCTGGCCACCGCTTGCTTGTGTCAGCTGCAGACAAGTCATTAACTCTTTGGGATGTATTAACTGGAAAGAAGATTGCTCGGACCATTCTTCAGCAGACTCCCCTGCAGGCTCGTTTAAACCCTGGATTGAGTTCTCCTTCTCTCTGTCTGGCCTGCCCGCTCTCTTCTGCTCCCATGATTGTTGATTTTGAAATTGATTGTACTACTCTGCTTCCAGTCTCTGTGCCTGAGATGCCTGATGTATTAGCTCCTCCTCAGCGAAGTAAATGTCCTGAATCAAATCCTCCTTTCTCTCCAGCTGCAGCATGCTTTAACAAGTCTGGGGATCTTGTTTATATCGGGAATTCCAAAGGAGAAATACTTGTTATAGATTACAAAAATGTTCGAGTTCTTGCTTTGGTTCCTGTGTCTGGCGGGGCACCGGTGAAGAACATAGTGTTTAGCAGGAATGGGCAGTATCTTCTCACCAATTCACATGATCGCACCATTAGGATATATGAAAATCTTCTCCCAGCTAAAAATGTGCTCAAATCCCTTGAGGACTTGGGAAATAACACTGATGGGCTTGATGGTGTTGAGAAACTAAAGACTGTTGGATCTAAATGCTTAACTCTCTTCAGGGAATTTCAAGACTCAGTTACCAAAATGCATTGGAAAGCGCCTTGTTTCAGTGGTGATGGTGAGTGGGTAGTTGGGGGTTCTGCGTGCAAAGGGGAACATAAGATCTACATATGGGATCGAGCTGGGCATCTCGTGAAAATATTAGAAGGTCCAAAAGAAGCGTTGATTGATCTAGCTTGGCATCCTGTTCATCCCATAATCGTCTCTGTTTCCTTGGCCGGTGTAGTATATATTTGGGCAAAAGATTACACAGAGAATTGGAGTGCATTTGCTCCCGACTTCAAGGAGCTTGAGGAGAATGAAGAGTATGTGGAACGCGAAGATGAATTTGATTTGATACCTGAAACAGAAAAGGTGAAAAACTGAATACACAGATACTTAATCATTATCCTTCTGTTACATGTGTTTCTGAAACTCTAAATTGTTGTATGCATGTAGGTGAAAGTATTAGATGTTAATGAAGATGAAGAAGTTGACATAGAGACAGTGGAAAAGGATGCTTTCAGTGATTCAGACATGTCAGTGGAGGAACTCCGTTACCTTCCAGCTGAACCGATCCCAGATACAAATGAGCAGCAAGACAATTTGGTTGAAAGCATAAAGTTAATTGAAGGTCAGATATCTGCATCACCTGCTTCTGAAGAGGCTGGTCAGAATGGACATGGGGCAGACCACGCAAGTCCACAAGGAGGTAAGAAAGTTAGTAACAGCATCATATGAAAAACGCAGTTTATGAATCCCTTATATGTATACATGAGATTATAAGTGCAAAATGTATGGATTTCGGCTGAATAGAGGGTCTGATTTGTATATTAGTATTGTGGATGTATGACGTGTTATACGATATAAATGCTGACATTACTAATGAATGGCTCCCTATTGCAGAAGAAATGGGTGATACGAGAGGAAAGAGAAAAAGGAAACCATCTGAGAAAGCCATGGAGCTGCAGGCAGAGAAGGCAAAACCATTGAAAGGGTCAGGCAGAACAGTAAGAGCAAAAACCAGAGCAGGCGTTGATCAAGAAATCGATGACACCGTAAATGATGAGGATGATGATGATGATGTATCTTATCACTGAAGTAGGTTTACTAATCTTTATGTATGCAAAAGAAAAAACAAGCTAGGACATGGAAAGATATTTTTTTTAATGTTCTAGTTGCGGGCAATGCGGTGTTCTTCTATACCACAACACAGCAATAGGAAGTCATGTAGCAAGTAGCTTAAATTTCCACGTTTAGCAGTTATTAAGAGACCGCCTTATGCATTTTGGAAACGGGGCCATTGAACACAAAATTATGCAGAAATATCTTTGATTCGCTAACTTTTCGTGATCATCACATGAATAGAATTATAGGTCACAGCAGCTACATTATTACACATTTCCTTTACACAACAATGGATACAGACTACATTCTCTCACAGAACCCATCACTTTGCTTTTCACCATTATCTACATACATATAGATAGATAAATATATATAGATAGACGTTGAGACTATATGTGGTTAAGAATGAAAGAGAGAAAAGCTGGAGGAGTCTGTTTCTAAGTGTCCTGAGGGCCATCAGTAGATTGAGTCTTTCTTAGGTTCCAGTGAAGACCATCGTGGATGCTACGCAAGAAGTCGTTGGTGGATTCAACTTGGCAAGCGGTTGAGACGGGCCATGGTGCCATGCTACACACAAGTGCATCCCCTGCTTCAAGCTGTTTCCGGTCTTTCCCATCAAAGGAGACCCAAGCAGAGCTTCTGCTATTGAATGGCACTTGCACTCTCACTGTCACGTGTTCCGGTAATATCAATGGGCGGAATGATAGAGAATGAGGACAGATTGGCGTGAATAAGATTCCAGGCACCTGCAAAACATTAAGTTAGAATATAATCCATTTATCTATTCTTGATATCTTGGACCATATAGGAAAATCTATCACGTTCTTGAATGGCACATGAATCTGGAGCTTGAACATTTTGACATTGTTACTAAAAAACTGGGTGGAATAAAGAACCAGCCTTGCTGTTGTTATGGATATGAATATCATCATGGGATATTTATTACCTGTGGATGGACCATTGAACCTCCAGCTGCAAGTGAATATGCAGTGCTACCAGATGTTGTAGACAATATTAGTCCATCGCCTTGCACACATGTGACAAATGAGTCATCGCAGTAACATTCAAGGTTTGTGAGGTAAGAAGATATTCCACGGTCAATGGTGACTTCATTCAGAACAAGCATAGTCTCCTCTGTTTCATATTCATGCCGTGCTTTATCTCTGATGATGTGACACTGCAACCTGTGTCGTAGTGTTATACTGATTGGACCCTTCAAAACCGCTTCAAGGCATTCTCGGTATTGTTCACTGTCTGGTTTGGAGTTAAGGAAAAGATTCTGTAAAATGTGTAGTGCAGCTTAAATAATAAACAGATAAAGAAGAGATAAAGGATACGGAAAGGAGTCATGAATCCAAGAGATCCCATGGAAAATGGAACAATTGGAGGCACTGGCCCTTTAAACATTGATGCTGCCTGAAACAGTGTAATATAACCCACATTAAATTGTATCTGTGGTAAAATAAAAAGTGTCATAACCTTGAGGCACATAGAACCATCTTATAAGAAGGTCATAACACTGTTCCATTGACTTACCCATAACACTGTTCCATCTCCACCAAGAGTTATAAGAAGATCAACCTTTGTGTGCAGAAGCGAAATCTCCTTGTCTGCATCACAAATCATCAATTGGTCAAAATGTAGCTGATTACTAGGCCAAAACATTCAATGTTTTTTAGTTGAATTAGCTGGTTGTGCTCCATAGAAATATCTTATAGGCATCAATGGCGTAGAACAATCTGAAATCAATGATATCTTACCATCTTCCCAAGTTTGTACAAAGTTAAAGGAACTTGATTCTGACAAGAGTTCCGCTTTTACTCGTGGTTCCACATAAATATTTAGTCCTTTTTGCGTTCTCAACCATCTGAGATGGAGAAAAATCAATAATTAGTTAGTTCATCTGAACCAAGACTCTACCTTCCAAATGTACACATAA